AAAAAAAAAAAAAAAAAAAAAGGTTAAAACAAGTAAATATGATATACTTTCCTATCCATTTAACAATGCTCGCAGCATAAGGATTAGAAATAGTCCATGTTGATTGAGAGTGTAAAGTTCCACTTTTAGTGAATTTACCATTAGGGCACTGCAAAAAAAGATTCCAGTAAATGTGACTTATGCAGGCCATAGATGGATTTTTCGGATCGTTAGTGGGCTAAATGTTCGGCCGTTTTTCGGTATTTTGGCAGATTTTTTTTATCGGTAAAGTTGGAAAAAAATCGGTTGGATTTTGCCAATTGGCTGATTTTCGCGGCAATGATGGGCAAATCGGCCGGTCTTTTACCGATAAAAAAAATCTGCGCATGAGCAGTGACCTGCAAGAGGAAGAAGAAGAGGAAGAAGAAGAGGAAGAAGAAGAAGAGGAAGAAAGAAGAAGAGGAGGAAGAAGAAGAGAAGAAGAAGAGGAAGAGAGGAGAAGAAGAAGAGGGAAGAGAGGAAGAAGAAGAAGAAGAAGAAGAAGAAGAAGAAAGAAGAGAAGAGAGAAGAAGAAGAGAGGAAGAAGAGGAAGAAGAGGAAGAAGAAGAGGAAGAAGAAGAGGAAGAAGAAGAGGAAGAAGAAGAGGAAGAAGAAGAGGAAGAGGAAGAAGAAGAGGAAGAAGAAGAGGAAGAAGAAGAGGAAGAAGAAGAGGAAGAAGAAGAGGAAGAAGAAGAGGAAGAAGAAGAGGAAGAAGAGGAAGAAGGAGGAAGAGAGGAAGAAGAAGAGAGAAGATGAGAAGAGGAAGAAGAAGAAGAAGAGGAAGAAGAGGAAGAGGAAGAGAAGAGAAGAAGAAGAGGAAGAAGAAGAGGAAGAAGAAGAAGAAGAAGAGAAGAGAGAAGAAGAAGAAGAAGAAGAAGAGGAAGAGGAAGAGAAGAAGAAGAAGAAGAAGAAAGAAGAAGAAGAAGAAGAAGAAGAGAAGAAGAAGAAGAAGAAGAAGAAGAAGAAGAAGAAGAAGAAGAAGAAGAGAAGAAGAAGAAGAAGAAGAGGAAGAAGAAGAAGAAGAAGAAGAAGAAGAAGAAGAAGAAGAAGAAGAAGAAGAAGAAGAAGAAGAAGAAGAAGAAGAAGAAGAAGAAGAAGAAGAAGAAGAAGAAGAAGAAGAAGAAGAAGAAGAAGAAGAAGAGGAAAGGAAGCAGCTGATGAAGAAGAGGAAGATGAAGAAGAAGAGGAAGATGAAAGAAGAGGATGATGAAGAAGATGAAGAAGAGGATGAAGAAGATGAAGAAGAAGAGGAAGAAGAAGAAGAAGAGTATGAAAAGAAGAATGAAGAAGAAGGATGAAGAGGAAGAAGAGATGATGAAAAAGAAGAAGAAGAAGAAGAGGATGAGGATACGAAGAAGAGGATGAAGAAGAGGAAGAGGAAGAGAAGAAGAAGAAGAGGATGAAGAAGAGAGGATGAAGAAGAGGATGAAGAAGAGGAAGAGGATGAAGAAGAGAAGGATGAAGAAGAAGAGGATGAAGAAGAAGAAGAAGAAGGATGAAGAAGAAGAAGAAGAAGAGGATGAAGAAGAAGAAGAAGAGGATGATGAAGAAGAAGAAGAAGAAGAAGAGGGTGAAGAAGAGGGTGAAGAAGAAGAGGAATTCCAGTCCGGCAAAAAGTGTCCCTGCAGAGAGCTCCGCTATTTCTTTGACAGTTCCTTGACATTTATAGCGGTTGCAACAATGTATCTATTTGTTTCCGAATAAAAACATCTGTATCCTAAATGGATACAAATAGATACATTGTTGCAACCGCTATAAATGTCAAGGAACTGTGAAAGAAATAGCGGAGCTCTCTGCAGGGACACTTTTTGCCGGCTGTAGACGGGATGAAAATCGGCCGATTTTTTTTACCGTTGCTGGTAACGTCGGCCGCTTGAACGACCGATTTTTCGTTTTTTAAAGAAAAATCGGCCGATTTTCGACCCGTCTATGGCCTGCATTAGCATTCATATTTAAAGAACTGATTAAAAGGCAGTTAGTCATATTAAGCAGAAATATTTAAATCAATTGAGCATCATCTTAATAAAAATATCAATTACTAAAAAATAACCAGACAGTTCTTATGTATCTATTTATAGATGTTATCACACAACTAACACCCAGGACACAGATTTGTTCAGTTGAAGCCAATTAAAAAAATGCATGAATCTTGGGTGAAAACATTTGTTTCCAAGTTTTTGAACAGATAAATAATATTTGTTTATAAGCAACACTCTTTAAAACAGGCAGCAATATTTCCTCTTTATGAACTTACCATTGCAGCAGATTAATAATAGATTAAAGGCATTTACCACATACTTCCGAGTGACATAAAACTGTCACTTGGTGACCTCTGTACCACTTGAGGTTCAGGAATGCATTTTATTTTATAACTAGGGAGATGCACTTGAGCCCTAAATGTTATGAAGCAAACAGAATGATTTTCAGTAAATGCTTTCAAACAAATTAGCTTTCATAAGCAAATCCTACAAAATCAGTTGATGTAATATCTGCTAGCAGTGGATTAAAGCACTTCACTTTCAGCATATAGTAAGGTGTGGGGTGGATCTGCCAAACCAGAATTACAATACACAGTACTCACACAACCCAAATGCATGAATGAAACATAGTAGGACATTTTATTCACATCAACACTGCTGCAAAGCTTTACAAACACAGCCCTTGGCCAGGGCCGCTGATAGACCTGCTGGGAACCTTGGCAGCATAGGGAATCAGATGCAGGCAGCAAGACAGGGAGGATGATCAGTGCAGCAGAGAAAGGGGAATACAGGAACGATGCCCTGCAGCAGCTGAAAGCCGGCGGGAAGGAGAAGAGAGAGGGGGAGAAACAGGCTTTCAACTTCCACATCATCCTCCCTGTCCTGCTGCCTGCATCTGATTCTACATGCTCTCCAACGCAGGACACAAGTGTACAGCCTCCAGACTGCTATCATATACTCAGTTGGATGGAACATGAAACAGCCACAAGGATCCTCTGCTCAAGGCTGAAGAACAGGAAGTCCTGTACACAGACTCCAGTGGTGACATTAGCTTGGGTGCCTGTCTGGTCGGAGCAGAGGATCCCGATGGCTTGGTTTCATGTTCCGACCAGCTGAGTGTATGACAGTTGTCCTGAGGCTGTCCACCTATCCTCTCCCCCTCCTGGAGTCCAGGTTTGGAACCCCAGAACGGACTCATCTGCATTGTTGCAGTGCTATGCATATGCTTTTATATATGAGCAGAACTATTGAAGTTTGAATAAAGCTTTTTAACCTTTTAGGTCCCATTCACACGTGGGGGGGGTCTACACCAGCAGATCTGCCTGCTGATCCCCACTGAGCAGGTGGATGACATGCCCATGTCCACTCCGCTTATGCAGAGTGGACATGGACACATCCCACTATCCTCTTTGGGCGGTCAGATGTAAACAGGCCACCTGTCCGTTTACATCCAAATTGCATCCGATAGACAGATGGGGGATGGATCCCCCATCTGTCAATTTTTAGTGGATCGCATGCAGGCAAATGTAGACAGACGCATATCCGTTTACATTCACTGCTCCATAGAGGGCAATGGACGGTCCGATCGGGTCCGCCTGAAGAAGTTTACATTTTTTTCAGTTTGATAAGTGTGCAGTGTGTGGGCGAGCGGCCCCAAATACACACGGTCAGTGTTCGGAGGTCATACAGTGGAAACCACATGCCTCTCAAATTAGGACCCGCAGCTGTGTTTGTACAACAATTAACATAGGCTACCTGCACACAGCAATAGCCACATCAAAAAAACAAAACACTGATTCACATGGTACAGGCCACAGCGCCCATGTAAATCAGCCCCAAGATCTCAGTTACACACAGCGCTTTATCAACTCAATACAAATTTATATTTTAGATTTGGCAAGAATTTTGTAAGTTATGTTATGTTTGTGTTCGCTAATATTCATTTTAGTATATTCTTGGTGAAATTATTGTTTTGAAATTTTGGGGGGCGGGTTTGGTTCTGTGATTTCCAACAGCATTCCTGCTTTCCATAGTGGAGTTGGACTGAGCAGTAATAACGGCTGTACAGATGCAAAGTTCTTCTGACCTCTCCACCATTTCATTGCTGTAAAATAGGCTATATTTAATTAAGAGAAAATGTAGGAATTGTCAATTCTATGACCAGAAGAAAGAAGCATTCCAATTCAGCAACATAAACCGTTATGGTATGTGTGTACAAAATACTATCACTTTTTTTAAGCCATTGATGTCCCAAAATTAATAAAATTACATTAACTGTAAACATTTATTTACAACCAAAACACAATAAACAGAAATGAAATAATTCTCAGCAAGATAAGCCTGTACATAATTTGAAAAAAAGGCATTTATACCAATATAAAACTTTAACAACTTAAAGAAACCATCATATAAGCCTCATACCTAAATGAGTCAATGCTTAACAATGTCCACAGGTCAGCAATACTTGCTGGTAAAGTACACCTACAGTTAGATGCTAGCCATTGGTGTTTCTTGTTGGGGCCCCCCCACACTCTGAGCTCTCTATTATGCAAATCTTAACTTGTCCTGGCTGGAGCTTTTCTCCCTTGCAGATATCACAATTGGTCAGCGAGGCCATAAGCCTTAACTACTGGTCAATACAAACGTTCAAGAGCAGGTAGAGCCAAACTCAACCTCAGGAACTGAACTTTGTATAGCAGATTTCCCTTTGCAGCAACCAGGGCACTCTTCTGGATATCCAAATTCAAGGTCAGGTACCTTTTTGTGCCTGATTAGCAGTGTTGTTAGCAGTTGTATAAATTTATTCTCCCTAAAAGAGTACTTCAATTATAGCTGAAAACAAAAATGTAACACCATGAACTGTAATTGGTTTTCTTCTTTTTATCAGCTGGTGGCCCCTTCTTGTGAACAACAGAATGATGCAGGATCACTGGGGAGGAAAGAATCTGTTCCAAGCTTGAGCTCCAAAGTTCTATAAAAAGAGAGGTGTGTTTACATGGTTATTCAATGCAAGAAAACACCCACACAGCAACGTATTTGAGTATCTTGGCTCACCTGAATCCATGGTCCATAGCCAAACATAGGGGCATGTTAAATGGCATTCTTGAAGGATCCATAAATGGTCCAGGAGGTCCACTAAAGGAACCTTGTTGTGAATTAGGATGCATTGCTTGATGGAAGTCACTAAACATGTTCTCTCTTGGTGCTGAAAAACGATTTCTAAAGAATGGCTGCATTGGTACATTTTGAGGTGGACCATATGTTCTTACAGGGGCAAAATATGGACGTGGGCTACGGTAATGACTGCTTTTATAAGGTTCTATGATAGGTATCTTAGTATTTTCTTTTGAAGAAGATGATACAGTTGTACTCTTTTCTGCCACTAAAACATTTGCTGTAGATAGACTCTTTGTAGGTGCTGGTGCATTTTTTGTAGAGCTATCCTTACAAGGAACTTCTGATTTTAAATTTTTAGGTGGTGGCGAAACTCCTGGTGGGTAGCAGTCTTCAGAAAAGGAGTCTTTCTTGACCTTCTTGACATCGCTTTCTTTTTTTCTGCATAAAATAAAAATATAAAATATAAATTTATCAGCAATGTATTATGCTAGGAATTGTGGTTTAATTGTTCTGTATACAAGCATTGTAGAAACCTTTGTCTGGAAATACTATTCAAGCTCCAATATAGTACAAGAGAAGAAGGTGCTGTAGACTCAACACATTAATTTAAAGAGTGTGCTGTTTACCAAGTGGACTGAAATTGACTACTATTTAAGAGGATGATTAATCCATGGGGGCAGCGTTTGGCTTTTCCTGGTGTACCTGCTGGAATCTTTGGAAGGATACTGTTCCTGCCCTGCTGTTTCTTTACTATTAGGACTAGTTCACACAACAATACCCACATTCAGTTTGTGTTTCCATGAGTTTTTAATGCATTTCAGAGGTTTCTTTTCCCTCCTCCTGTGTTTATGTATGTTCTGGTGCATTTACACAATGAGGAAAAAATGGAAGCTACTGTATTTGTTTTGAAAGCACTGGTACTGAATGAGTGTGAACCAGGATGATTGTAAAACATTGATTTTACTGTGAATAGTTCAGGATGCATTTACAAAAGCACCTAAAAGCATCTGGTGTGGACAAGCCCTATCATTCGATAAACAACCCAGCACCAATTCCCTACTGTGGCTCCATAAACCAGCATGCTTTATTCCACAATTCATCTTCTATGCCACCTTCAGATAAGTAGCTTGCACTACATTAATAACACTGGCAAGCCCTTTTTGCTGGGGACACACAGGAATGAGACTTGAAATAGCTCTTAAAGGCTAAACGGAAATAAAAGTGATTGTGAAGGTTTTTTTCTTTAAAAAAAAAAAATAATAATAATATATATATATATATATATATTATATTTATTTACTTACCTGCTTCATGCAATGATTTTGTAGAAAGCAGCCCTGATTCTCCTCTTTTGGGGTCCCCCGCCAGTGCTCCTGGCTCCTCCCACCTTCCAACTGCCCCTATAGCAAGCCAATTGCTATGGGATTCTCATACAGGCTTGATCCTGAGCTGCACATTGACATACACCAGCAATGGGCAAACTACGTATACGGCCCGGCGGACCTTTTAATCCGGCCCGCGGAGCTAGGCTCCCCTCAGAGTCCGCCCTGAAGACCGGTGTAGCATGAAAATCTGTCTCCTATGAGGATCTGTCCCCCTCGACGTATCTGCGCATGTGCCGGAGATCGCCGATCGGCTGCTAATTCCTGAAACTGGCACATGCGCAGATACGTCGAGGGGGACAGATTCTCATAGGAGACAGATTTTCATGCTACACCGGAACAGCGCGGGACACAGCGAGAGGAACGCGCGGAGCAAAGGTAAGTGAATTGACACGGGGGACTTGATATGGGGAATGAATTACTATAGGGGGGATGAATTACTATATGGGAGATGAATTACTATAGGGGGGATGAATTACTATAGGGGGGATGAATTACTATAGGGGGGATGAATTACTATAGGGGGGATGATTACTATTACTATGGGGGATGAATTACTATAGGGGGGATGAATTACTATATGGGGGATGAATTACTATATGGGGGATGAATTACTATATGGGGGATGAATTACTATATGGGGGATGAATTACTATATGGGGGATGAATTACTATATGGGGGATGAATTACTATGGGGGATGAATTACTATATGGGGATGAATTACTATGGGGGATGAATTACTATATGGGGGATGAATTACTATGGGGGATGAATTACTATATGGGGGATTAATTACTATGCTTACTATGGGGGAATATTACTATACTTACTATGGATGACACATACACATCATTCATCTAGTCTTGGTCCGGCCCCCGGGTCCAATATATGAACCCATTGCGGCCCTCAAGTCAAAAAGTTTGCCCACCCCTGACATACACAGTACAGCTTGTCCTCACCCCCCCCCCCCCCCACTCCATCACTGGATTTGATTGACAGCAGGAGGAGCCAGTGGGTCCCAAGCTCTGACCAAGTCTAGTGCCACTGCTCACAGGCACAACGTTGGATTGAGATCGGTCTAAGAGGTATATAGGGGGGCAGGGGGGAAGATGCATTTAAAAGGTGTTTTACCTTAATGCAGAGAATGCATACAAAATCTTAACCCTTTACAACCGCTTGAAGCTCTCACAATCCGTGTAGGAAAAACCCCAAAGCGTTGGCAGAGAATACATGAATACATATTTTTCTGTTACATGTAACATGCAAACTGCATTGTATTCCTCAGTGTGCAAAAATGCAGAATATGTTTGTTATAGAATACTGCTTTTTACCCCTCAGGCATTCAGTAGAATTACACTAAATGTGTCTGGTAGTCATTTTCAGTTTTTGTGTAACATTATTATTATTATAATACAGGATTTATATAGCGCCAACAGTTTGCGCATCACATTACAATATAAGGGAGACAGTACAATTACCATACATTTCAGTACAGAAGGAATAGGAGGGCCGTGCTCGTGGAGCTTACAATCTAAAGGAAGGGGGAGGTGGTACAAAAGGTGATAGCTGCGGGAGATGATCTGATGGAGGTGGCTCAAGTGCAGTCCTTAGGTGGAGGTTGGGTAGGCTTCCCTAAATAAGTTTTCAAAGTTCGCCTAAAAGCAGACAGGGTGGGGCTGACCGGACATACAGCGTTAGGGAATTCTAGAGTATGGGAGAGGCTCTGGAGAGGTCCTGGAGGCGAGCATGGGAGGGGGTGACAAGGGAGCTAAAGAGCAAGATGTCTTGGGAAAAGCAGAGCGAGTAATTTGAACGATATCTGCGGATGAGTTTGGTGATGTAGCTAGAGGCACTGTTGTGGATGGCTTTGTATGTTGTGGTTAGTATTTTGAATTTTATATGTTGGGTTAATGGAAGCCAATAAAGGGATTAGCAGAGAGGGGCAGCAGTCAATGATTGGTTGGTAAGGTGTATGAGTCTAGCAGCAGCATTCATAATAGACTGAAGGGGGGATAGCCTGTGTAACGGTAGACCAGTGAGGAGGGAGTTGCAGTAATCAAGGTGGGATATAACCAAGGAGTGGATAAGTTGTTTTGTGGTATCAATGGTCAGAAAGGAGCGAATTTTGGAAATGTTGCGGGGGTTGAGGCGGCAGGATTTAGCCAGTGATTGGATGTGGGACCCAAAAAGAGAGGTCAGAGTCTAGTATTGCACCTAGCACGCTGAAATGAGGGGAAGGACCAATGGTTGTGCTGTGGATCTTAATGGTAAAGTCATGAGTGAGGGATCGGGGGAGGAGGAAATATTACAAGCTCAGTTTTGGAAAGATTGAGTTTAAGGTAGTGGTGTGACATCTATACGGATATGTCGCTTAGTAGATTTGTGATACGTGAGGAGATTTAGGATGTGAGCTGAGATAGATTTGGGTGTCATCAGCATAGAGGTGGTATTAGAAGCCATGGAAGGTTGTCAATTGGTCCAGGGAGGAGGTGAAGAGAGAGAAAAGGAGGGGCCCAAGGACAGAGTCTTGGGGTACCCCAACGGAAAGAGGAAGAGGAGTGGAGGAGTTGTTGTACGCGACCCTAAAAGTGCGCTGAGAAAGGTAAGAGGACAACCAGGATAGAGCAGAGTCACGGAGGCCAATGGAGTGGAGTTTACTGAGGAAGAGCGGGTGGTCAACTGTGTGAAAGGCAGCGGAAAGGTCTATGAGTATGAATATGGAGTAATGGCCATTGGTTTTAGCAGTTAGTAGGTTGTTAGTGAGTTTTAGTAGGGCCGTTTCAGTGGAATGTTGTGGGCAGAAGCCAGACTGTAGAGGATTGAAAAGGTTGTTATCAGTGAGGTAGCAGTTCATATGTTTGTAAACAAGGTGCTCGAGAAGCTTGGAGGCAAACGGGAGCAGGGAGATGGGTCTTAAGTTATTCTAACAGGTGGGGTCCAGCAAGGGTTTTTTTTAAGTACGGGGGTAACCAGTGCACGTTTGAGCAGGGAGGGAAAGCTACCTGTGGAGAGTGAAAAGTTGAAGACGCGGGTTAGAGAGTTTAGGATAGAGTAGGATGGAGGCGGCAATAATCGTGAGAGGACAGGGTCTAGGGGACAGGTGATGAAGTGAGCCTTGGAAAGGAGTTCGGTAACTTCGTTGGTGGTAACATATGTAATCCTTAACAATTTCTCTTATTTGCACTTTGAATCAAGAAAATATACTACTAAAAGTGTTTTGTTATATCTGTTTTTTATAAATACAAAAAAAAAAAACAAAAAAACTGACGATAATGCTAGAAATATAGTGAGCTTCCTGTGCTCCCTGTTATCAGTTAAAAGAAGTAGGGTTTTTTTTTGCCCAGTCATACTTACCATACTTCCCCCGCCGGCTCTAAGGGTGAGAACTCAGCGATCACATGATCGCTGAGTTCTCACAGCCGCTCTGAGCAGAGAGCGGTGACTGACAGTCACCGCTCTCTGCTCAGAGCGGCTGTGAGAACTCAGCGATCATGTGATCGCTGATCTCTCACCCTTAGAGCTTGTCTACTCTGCCCCCCCAGCGCTCACTGGAGTGCTGGGCTGTGAATAAGGGGGGAGCGGCTGACTCAGGCTCTCAGCGGATCGCTGAGAGGCTGAGTCAAGTGCCCCTCTAGACTCCAGGGTGGATCCCGATTTTGAAGTCAAGATCTTTCCCCAGCCTAAACTGGCTGAGTGACGTCAGCCGACAGCGGGCTGAAGCCCGCTGTCAGCTGAAAGCCGGTCACAGGAGTGTGATCCACAGAAGTACAGCCAAAAGAGCTTTAGCTATACTCCTTTAACATTGCTCTTAGCTCTTTGTGAACTGCAGAACACTTCCCCCTATTTTATGGAGTTCAGGAGAGGGGTAGGTGTCTATAGCCCTAAAACGCTTCCTGTCCTAGAGCGACAATGTTGCTCCCCATGACTAAAATTATATAGATCAGGAAGATATAGAAATTCTAATCTTTTGGCACCACAAGCAGTCCTCATTTGAAAGAAGAGAGAAATAACTGGTGTAAACAAAAGAAAGACCGGGAGAAAGAAAAGATGGAAAAGACACAAACAACTTATTCCAGCATCAGGTACCATTTAACGGACAACTTGCTAGTTCTTCTGTAAATAGGTAACAGTCTTTCACTTCTAAGTACTGTGTAGCATATATGTGTTTATAATTGCGGAGAGGGTGATGTGATCACCAGCAGACCCAATTGCTGACTTTGCTGTTATTGACTTCAGGATGGCGTCATCCACCATTTCTTTCACTAAGCAAATTAGTTTGAGCTGTTTAGATGAGGCCTGGTCATATACAGTACGTTTTTACAACTGTGGAGAGGAACACAAAACAAAAAACATTATTTAGTGAAGGCACTCACCCATCATCATCTTTTCTCTTCAGATATGTTTGATTTTCATTGTAGGCATTCACCCAGCTACAGAATAAACATAAAACAATCAGAAAGAAGCACCAAGCAAAATCTAGCAAAAGTAGCAGAGTGATGTTATGCACACAGATGACACTTTAACTGGCAAAAGTAATGAGACATATTGGCTTCCTTCAGTAAAAGTATTACTGTAAACATATTTTGACATGCATCCTATTTTTATACTGAGATTAAGCAACACCAAATGTTATTTTCTATCACATTATATTTCTCCCTCTGCCTTTTGGCAATTTACGCAGTATGGTCTCATGCAGATTTTACAGCAACCCCTGAGGGCCTGTGTCGATGGACTTTAGTTCGCTTTAGAACGGCTTCTCTTCCTGTACAAATCTATGAGAATACAAAAAAAAAAGCTGAAGCAGGTCAACTGCACCTGCTATGAATTCTGAATGATCTCAGCAGTGTTCAAACAGATGTCAAAAGCAGGCTGCATTCGCCCATCAAACAGCCCGTCCTTACAGTTGTTTAAGTGTAAGGACAGCTAAAATGTCTTTTTGCTTCGGATGGAGTAGAGAAGGATTAAAACCTTTTTTTTTGCTGTCTGTATTCTGTTGGGGAGGTTTCCCCTTACTTTCTGTCCTGGAGACATAACAGGAAATTAGAAGAAATCTTCCAAAGCAAGGGGGGAATTCCCCTTTTAAACCGCTGGCACTAGAACAGGTGTCCCTATTGAATGGTTTCCGCACAGCTCTTGTTCTAGTGACAAATGCTGGATTTCCCCTTACTTACTGCCCTGGTCACAATGGTCACCAAGATAAAAAGAGGTGTCAAACATCAATCAAGCCAAAAGACGACAGAGGCAGCACTAACATCTTGACAAGGGCCTAACCCTAAAATGTTTTACCGTTTCACAAATTTTACAGTACACAAATGCTGAAATACAGGCTACTATTGCTATATTGTTTCTGAATATGCCAAATGTCTTGCTATTATGGTAATCTCTTAAAACAAATGCTCAGAGTCACTGAACCAAACAACCATACAGCAGGTGAAATCATAACTTCTCCATACTTGTTTCATGTCAGTGCCTGAAAGTAATGATGCCTTCAAATCAGCATGACAGCAAGGAAAGTGCCATTTTTCACTTCTTAGCTCCTATATTTTTGGCATCGAAGTTCTGGTAGACCCAGGTTGTGTATCACAGGCACTTCTAATACTACAAGCCATCATAACTCTTGTCACACTATCAAAGAGCAACTGTGCTAGAGGTGTAAAGGTCACCATACAATATACAGTCTGATTGTACAATCTCCTTTAGAGCTACCTTCAACCATTTTTGGGTCCCTGGGTCCTAGTGCCACATTATTGCTAGTCATGCAACAAGTTTTAATCAACTATGGCATATCTTACACGCACGTCACTGCTATCATAATGGACATGGGCTGCAAGTGTAAGAGCCGCTTCACATATATGCGAATTGGATGATTTTAAACCACATCAAATTTGCTTGACGTAAAATAACATTAGTTTCTGTTGTGCCTTTTCATATATATGCGGTGCAACTGAAATGCAGATTCAGTGCGAATTGAAAGAGTCCTTTCAGTTTTCTGAGCAATGCGGTCCAGCTTAGGTGCAAATTCAGGCTCATTGACTTCCATGGGAATGCTACTTAATTGCACGTCATCAGTCATGAACAGGATAAAATCCTGACCTGATCCCGATCTAAACTTAAGCTGAACTGCAGAACAACTACTTTGTCAATTAGCTGTGAAAACAGAGCTTTAATTCGCACCACACATGTATGAATCCAAAATTATTCTACACCTACTATACTCCTAGGTCTGTCTCTGATATGCCTGTAGCTGCTTCTGGACATAGAGTTGAAGATGATCAGGAATGTAACCTATCAGTGTTTGATTTTGTATCCGAGATGTTCAGTCTGCTGCCTAGTCCTAAAGATACTATTTTCTTTCCTAGTGACATGGTGCATATACATCTGATAAGGAGCAACCAGTGTCTGAGTTCTCTAAGATTACCAGTCTGGGCTACCTCTGAAGTCCCCAAACTGTCAAAACCTTCCTAGTTCACTCTCTACTGCCATCTGTTTTGTATGGTGACTGAAATAAGTGTGTGTGTGTGGGGGGGGGGGGGTTGTTTTTGGATTTTCCCCTACTTATATTAAAATATGTGCTATCTTGTCTGTCCCTATAAGTAGCTAGTATATCTAAGCTCTGACAATATTAATGGTAGTAATATATTACAATATTAGCTATAATAATAAACACAAAGCTCAAAGAAGCAAAGGTCTTATTTATTTACAAAGAATGTAAAACATTAACAGAGAAATCTAAACAAATATTACACAGCATATAGTAATAAAACAGCAAAGGTGGTACGTTACGTAAGTTCATTCTCAAAGTTGAATATCCTTTGTCTGGGATCTGGGTAGCTGACCCTTGCGTTTAAAACACTCACAGACACCATCCAAAAAAACACTCTCGACCAGCCCGATGTAGTCCTCCATCCAAGGAGCGGCAATTCATAACTTATAAGGAGCTGTCCTCCCTAATCACTAGGAAGTACAGTATTACTGCAGCCATCCTCCCGGAAGTATGTCATTGTCTCCACCAGGGGGCACTGCTTTTGCCAAAAATGCTTTGACCTAGGTCAGGGGTCTGCAACCTTTAAGACATAAAGAGCCACTTGGACCCGTTTCCGAGAGGGAAAAAAAGACTGGGAGCCGCAAAACCATTGCAACATTTAAAACAAATCCGACACTGCATATATTGCAAAAAGCGCTCTGGTCATGAAGGGGGTTTAAGGGCCCAGTAAGCAAAGGGTTAATCAGGGCCACAGTGTATCGTCATAATCACAATCATAGCCTTAGGTCAGTGGTGGGCAACCTTTTTTTTCAACTGAGCCAAATCTCGCCAAAACCACGATTGAAATTTATTTTGAGAGCCACATTTTTAAAACTGAAAATACATCCCCCATATAGTAATTCATCCCCCATAGTAATTCATCCCCCATAGTAATTCATCCCCATAGTAATTCATCCCCCATATAGTAATTCATCCCCCATATAGTAATTCATCCCCCATATAGTAATTCATCCCCCATATAGTAATTCATCCCCATATAGTAATTCATCCCCCATATAGTAATTCATCCCCCATAGTAATTCATCCCCCATAGTAATTCATCCCCCATATAGTAATTCATCCCCCACAGTAATTCATCCTCCCTATAGTAATTCATCCCCCATATTAAGTCCCCAAGTCCCCCCTGTGTCAATTCACTTACCTTTGCTCCACGCGTTCCTCTCGCCTTGTTCCCGCGCCGTTCCGGTGTAGCATGAAAAACTGTCTCCTATGAGGATCTGTCCCCCTCAACGTATCTGCGCATGTGCCAGTTTCAGGCATTAGCAGCCGATCGGCGATCTCCGGCACATGCGCAGATACGTCGAGGGGTACAGATCCTCATAGGAGACAGATTTTCATGCTACACCGGTCTTCAGGGCGGACTGTGAGAGGAGCCTAGCTCCGCGGGCCGGATTAAAAGGTCAGCCGGGCCGTAGTTTGCCCATTGCTGCCCTATTGCCGGTCACCTGGTGGGCAGTGTGCTCCGGAGCCGCAGCCAAGGTGAAAAAGAGCTGCATGCGGCTCTGGAGCCGCGGGTTGCCAACACCCGACCTAGGTCAACATTCCAGTCCACATCCAGTTTCTTTCTTCTGCCTAGAAGCCATGTAATCTGTCATTTTAATCTTCATGTCACCAAAGAATCTGGACTGAGGCTTTCTTACCTCCATGCCCCACCACTAGGGGGTATGTGTGAACTACCAGGACAAGGATTTTGGTATGCAATCCTTTGTTACACACACCCTGTTGTAAATTCTTGTTTTACTGACACTCCAAGATGACATCCAACAGGCCAAATGGTTCTTTGTTAACCAGGTAGTAAGAAACCATAAATGTCTGATATAAAAAAATGTTGCCTTCCAACAGTGACTGATCTACATCTGAGTGGCTATTTTCACCTACCAAGCATTTTGCCGAGCATTCCCATTGTGGATTTTTTGCTTGAACAAAACACTGCTCCCAATGAGGACATCCCAATGTTTAAGGACACAGTAGACAAGAGAATGGAAACCATGCCCTTGTTCTCCCAACAGCCCCTGCTAGGCAACCCGTCACTGGTGTCATTTCCTTTTGCCAAATCCTGGGGGAATAGTCCAAGGATATACCTAAAGCAGCTTTCTCCACTGACCCTTCCATTTGGCCTGTCCACTGCGCCTTGAGTGTTCACCACTCAAGCTTTGCTGTGCTCAAGGGTCATTCCTATTGTGGGATATCTAGACTTGTTATGGAGGGAACAGTCTGGTCAGTCACTGACGGCCAATGTCCAAAGGACTGTTCAACAGTTCAGAAGCATCCTGAAGCTTCAGAAGTCAGAGCTGGAGCCTGGAACCCACTCATCACTGGAGAATTTAGGACTTCTAGAAAATACTCTAGTATCCTGAACTTTGGCTTTCATGTTCAGAAGCTCATGTTCAGAGTTCAAAACTCTTTTCTTTACTTGCATAAAAGAGTCCTGGGCTTGACAGTCACCTCCTTCTAGCTAGTCCTGTGTGGCCAATTCTACTCCAGATTGTTGCAACGCAACATCCTGGCTGTGTGGGACAAGAAGGTACAGTTCCTGGATTTATCAATTTGCCCGACATCCAGGGCCAGGTTATCTCTGGCTTGATGGCTCACAAATGCAGCCCTGGACTTGAAGAAAAGTCCTTTCTTCTATTGGTCTGGAAGATTCTCAAGATGGATGCCAGACTGTCACACAGGAAAGGGGTCCTGGACAGTGAAGGGGACTTGGTCGTCATTGGAAGTCTGTCAATCTCTTCAATGCAGGACTTCTCGACTGCAAAATGATCCATTCTGGATTCCCTCAGACAATGTCACAACAGTGGCAGACATCCATCAGGGAGGAACCAGAAGTCTTGTGGTTGAAAGAGAAACCAAGCTGATTCTGTCTTGGGCAGAACCTCAGATTCCAGCCCTGTCTGAGAGGCGTCTTGACTTTCCAGGTCTGGCTGAACATTTAGCGTTGAGTACTATCAAAGGCCAGAATCTTGGCTGCTGTGTTTTTTTCAAAGACTGTTTGACTCTCATTCCTTGGTAAAGGTCTATGTACAGGTGATTGCTCATATAACTTCATCTGTATATCCACCGATGACTTCATGGAATCTCAATTTAGTTATATCAGCTCTTGAAAAACTCCCCTTTGAACTTATCAGAGACATGCTCCTGTCCACACTCACCCACAAGGTTACCTTCATTGCTGCTATCACCTATGTGAAGCCAGTTTCTGAGTTGGAGACCCTCTCTTGTAGAGCACCATTTCCTTCCATTGTTTGGACATGGTACAAGCTGAGTTTCTCTCTCAACTACCTATTCTTTCTGGATGACCAACTTCCTTTTCCTGAGGGTCCCTGTAAGGGACAACCTTCCTACTATTCCACCATTTTTAGGTGGCTCCAGCAACTCTTTATTAAGGATAAGGTTCCACCCATCCCCAGTTAAGGCGCACTCTACTAGATCCACAAGTGTCTGCTGGGCCTTTCAGCATTAGGCTGTTTCCCAGATTTGCAAGACTGCCATCTGGTCTTCCATTCACATGTTCTCTGAGGTTTACCAGATGGTTGTTTGGGGGTTATCTGATGCCAGCTTTGGACACAAGGACCTTCGCATGGCTCCTTGAGATGCAAACTGCCCCCAATGCTTGTAGCATTGTTTGTTGTGTGTCCCGACCCTAAGTTGAACTGCTTACGGACATCCCATATATTTAAGAATCCTTCTGACTCTATGTACCTTAATGAATGATTAAGAACACAACATTTTGACTTGTTGTAAAATCATTTTCTTGAACTTCATTAAGTAACATAGGCCCCACCCCCCCGCTTTGTGATCAAACCTTTACTGCTTTTGCACAAACGTTGGATGGGTTATACTGTCTGATTAACAGCTTTTTGTGTGCCTGCATTAGTTTGCCAATTCTCCTGAAAGTGGTAACCTATACATCTCAGAATTCCTCTGACTCTCCCTTAATAAACTCCAAGAAAGGGATTTTACTTTAAATACTTTGTTTTGCGAATAATTTCCAGGAATCAGAGATTAAGGATGCTGGATAGTCAATTGCATCCACATTAGTGAAGCTACTTCATCTAATAGGGTATGCTATCACTATGACAACCAATTTGTTTCCTGTGAGATATGAACATATACACTGTATTGCCAAAAGTACTGGGACACCTACACACACACACACACACACACACACACACACACCTTTAATGGCATCTCAGTCTTAGTCCGTAGGGTTCAATATTGAGTTGGCCTTCCCTTTGCAGCTATAACAGCTTCAACTCTTCTGGGAAGGCTGTCCACAAGGTTTAGGAGTATGTCTACGGGAATGTTTGACTATTCTTACAGAAGCGTATTTGCGAGGTCAGGCACTGATGTCAGATGAGAAGGCCTGGCTCGCAGTCTCTGCTCTAATTCATCCCAAAGGTGTTCTATCGGGTTGAGGTCAGGACTTTGTGCAGGCCAGTCAAGTTCCTCTTTCCCAAACTTGCTCATCCATGTTTTTTTGGACCTTGGTTTGTGCACTGGTGCGCAGTCATGTTGGAACAGGAAGGGACCATCCGCAAACTGATCCTACAAAGTTGGGAGCATGAAATTGTCCGAAATGTCTTGGTATGCTGAGGCCTTAAGAGTTCCGTTCACTGGAACTAAGGGGCGAAGCCCAACCCCTGAAATACTACCTAACCATCATTCCCCCTCTACCAAACTTTGCACAATGTAGTCAGGCAAGTACTGTTCTCCTGGCAACCACCAAACCCAGACACGACCATTGGATTGCCAGACAGAGAAGCATAAGCATGATTCGTCACTCCAGAGAACATGTTTCCAGTGATTTACACCACTGTATCCGATGCTTTGCATTGCACTTGGTGAAGTAAGGCTTGGATACAGCTGCTTGGCCATGGAAACCCATGTGGCCATGGAAGTATTTGGAACACCTGAATCCAAAGATTTGGAGGGGTGTCCCAATACTTTTGGCAATATAGTGTATCGTAGGTGCCCAAACATACAGTTATTGTAAAAGTGACTTTATAATTATTTAACAGATATTAGATTAGCCACAGTTTTAAAACACAATTGCCAAATGCTGATGCTAGGCATCTGAATGTGCTCTTGTACGAACACATACAGATAAAGGCAGACTGGGCTAACCAGGAAAGGATATTTTACCTTGCTAGACTACTGCCAAAGTCTTCTAGAAATTCAAGTCGTTTTTGAGATAGGATCTTCTTTGAATCATCAGACAGTTTACTTTTCAAAGCTTGTTCCACACAGACCAGAGGAGCATCTTCAGTGTCATCTCTGGACATCTCAACCTCCAGCATACACATATGTAAATGGAGATTATCCTAGGCGAGATATATATATATATATTTAAGGTAAAGAACATGCTAATTAAAAATCCCAAATACACCAAATGGTTTGATACTGTGTCTCTCATGGTAAAACATAGTGAAAAAATACTAATAAGGAATATGACTGCAAAAAAATGCAAAACAAAATAGCTTGGGCGATCTAACAAAACTTTTCTAATTTTAAGAAACAAATTATTAACAAAAATACGTATATTTTTCTTGCCAATTTTATATCTTGGCATGGGCCATTTAAATATTTTTTCTTTAGGAGGAACTTGTCAGAACACAATAGGGCAGCTGCCAAAGCAAAGTTGTTTTTGATGGCGCACACTGCAGGAATGTAATTTTTAATCCTTCCTTTAACTACTTGAGTTGCTGACCTAGACCAAGACAGATACACAGAAAATGGCACCCAGCCGCCACCTCGGGGCAATACTACAGTACTTGTTACATAGTTGCATAAGTAATCTGGCTGAAAAAAAACAACTAGATATTGCCATTCAGTTCAACTAAATAACACTAAAAAAAAAAAAAAAAACCACAAATGCAAAACCTTCATATATGCTATCCTATACCACAGTTGATCCAGAGGAAGACAAAAAAAAATAAATAAATAAGCTGCTGCCAATAAAGCATGATCCAATTTGTTCCAGCAGCACTCAACCCAGGGAAAAAAAATTGTTTCTGATCCCCCAGAGAGGCAATTAGATATTCGACCCAGGATCAAACTTTACCACTTATAAATATTTAGTACCTCTCCCCCCCCAGGGAGTTCCCGGCAGCGCCCGCAATTCATGTGCATTTAGGAAAGCACCCCAGGCCTTTTTAAAGTAATCCTACAGAGCTGGCTAGGAACCAGCTCTTGAGGGAGTCTATTTTAAAGTCTATATAAAGAAGGAGAAATCAAGACCTTAAAAATTTGTATGTGCATTCAGGGACACATTCCCTTTAAAGCTGGGCTACCCATTACATGAGCAGACCTAAATGCCCAAAACTTAATCTAACCACCTTGGCAACACAAAGCACAGCCTGATCTGTTATAAATGTAATCGACACATGATTAGCAGATCTTACAGATTTGCTGTCTTTATGGCTGAAGCCAAGACAAGTTTCATAAACAAGAATAACAATAACAGAAGTTGAATACTGAAGCTACTAAATGCCTGCAGTCGAGTACAAACCAAAACATTACATTTTTTAATAGTTTAATCATTCTCACCGGATCCCTCTTAAGGGCTTCACCTTCAAGTACAACGAGATTTTTGCCTTTGACGTGAGGATCTCTCTGAGAGCTTTAGAATAAGCCGTGATCTCTCCCCTCCTCTGAGCTTCACTGACAGTGTAAAATCCTGCTAACTTTGTGGTTGCACTGATCTGCACAGCCTCCTTTAACAATTTTTCGGCTCCTGTGTATATTTCCATTTCGCCGTTCCAGACCAACACGCCTCAGTGACGTACAATGGCCTAAACCAGGGTATTCTGTTTTGACCACACAGGGTGACACAAAAATGGCAACCGGGCAGAGTCTCAAGCTCGACAACCCGCTCCACATCCTTGGATCAGAGACACGCTCTCTCCTGGAAGACCGAAAATAACCATCACAACAAAGAATCTATTCAATCTGCCACATGTACCTAAATCTCCGCCCGCAATCAATAAAAAAAAATTGCTCCATAGCCAATAATGGAGACCTTCGAAGGGCAGAACCTCTTATGTTTACAAGCAAATTTTTGACTCAAACCTTTTTTTTTTTTCTTCAGGCCCAAAAATGTGTTATACTTCAAGACATGAAGCTTGGTGAATAGAAGACTAGAGATGCAAAACACTGGCTAAAAAAATGATATGGCACAACATGCATAAAACAGAAAATAGTAACTTACCATGCTTCTCCTCAAATGCAGCCCATTGAAGATGTATACCATATTTCATTGGTAAATGGATACGACAGGCTCTCTCATATATAGAACGGGCAGCCTTCACTGAGTAGCCCTCCATATATTTTGCATACTGCATAGAAATATTCTTCATTAGTTCAATTCTCACAGTCCCTGATATTTAGGTTAAATATCTTTTTATTTAAAGTTTTAAATTTTCAGAACAAAAGCATGAAGTAACATTTGAAAATAATAAACAGAAGTCCCTGATATTTAAAGGGGACCTAGCACTAAAATACAAGATTCATTTATTATATTAGGCCTCCTACAACTTAAATTGCTGCATGACTGCTTAAGAAAAAAAAATATTTAAAAAGTTGCCTTACAGCCTGCCATTGCTGACTTGTTTGTTGAAATGATTCCACTTTCCTGGCTGTCAAACAGATGCAACTGTTACAATACTGACCAAGTTACGGATATAAAACAAACATACAGTAAGTGAAGAATTCCATACTTGTTCCAGGTCAGTCACTTAAAAAAAAATGTTACAATTACATTTACATCACAGTCAAAATAAGTGTCTGTGTGGTTGCCTTAGCAAGTTTTCTTTATGTCTACTTGCACTCTTTGCTACAAAACTGTAGCAGCAGCACATTTGTCAGAGAATTTACTCAAATGCCAATTAGCGTTCAGAAAAGAGATATAGGGCAAAATGGATTACATCTCATATTTTTTTAACTAAAGCAGCAAAATCTGAAAGTGGAATTCTAGTCAAAAACAAAATTCTGCCCTTGCTTAGTATGTTTAACCATTTCACTGCCAGGTCCGTACGGCGTACGGACCTGCATGCCTCCTCTGCTCTAAGCTCATGGTCACTTCAGTGACCATGAACTTATAGCAGAGATGTTCAGCAGACTCAGCTGAACAAAAGGATAGCTCTGATTAGCAACTAACAAGCCGCTGTTCAGAGCTATTAACCTACAATGTGAAATCCCCCCCCTGCTCCACCCCACGCCGCCGCCTCTGTGCTGCCACTTCTCTGCCCTGTGTCTCCCGTCCCTCCACCTGCCTATGCTAACAGCTAAAATTGTCCCCACCCCCCTACAACTGTCCATTACACTGCCTTACCCTGCCTTCTCCGATTACTCCCTCCCCTCGCAAACCCCAATCACTCTGTGGCTTCCCTTTTCTGCCTCTCCCACCAACTTTCAGCCAAAGAGGGATCCATTTGCCAAAACAGATGACCCCCCTTGCTGCTCCGGCTCCTCCTTTAGTGCCCCCCACCTCTTTTGTGTCTGGGAGCCCCTTCTTGCAGCTGCTAGCTGGCTCTTCCTCATAGTCTTTTTGACCAGTTTCTCTGTGGTTCCCGCACCCACGATCACGCTGTGGGCTGAGATGCATGGGGGTACTATTCAAAATGAATGGTAGCCCCGCGTGTCTCACAAGGGCAGCTGTCTTCAGTCCCTTTTTCGGTTTAAAAAAAGTGACAGTAGAAGTCTGTTTAGACCCCTGATGTCTCTCCAAAGTCCCCCCCCCCAAATATATAAATGTAAAAAAAAATGAAAAAAAAAATGTAAAAATGTACCTTTAAAAAGAAAAAGAAAAAAAAAAGTTGTAAATAATAATAAAAATAAAAAAACATAGTAAGGGTAGATTTAGACATGCATCTAAATCTCCCTTGCTTCTGAAGCATGAAAGCATCATCACCCTAATAAATAAATGAACTACGGTATCCAATGTGCCAAACTAACAAACAGATTTAACCCTCTAGCATATAGGTCTATCTTTCACCCTTGAAAGTGTAAAATTCTCAATACTACCTCAATATGCTCAAAACATACTATAATATAAAATACAAAATGTGAAATCCGTGTAATTGACGAAAACCACAAATAAGATAAATATATAAAAAAAAAATTATATACAAAACAAAAACACTAAAATTATTATTTTTTATATACTCGTGTCCAAAAATCGAAGTCATTCCCAACTCCAATTCCAGTGGGAGTTTTCACCACATAAGTGAAAAGTGAACACAGTGCAACAACAGTGATATGTGAATCACTCTGTGCATAAATAATCCAAGTGACAAAAAGTGTAAGGAGTAAATACCCTTGAGTTTATGAGGCTGTGAGGACATCATAAAGAGTGTTACTCAGGCTGGGAAGGCGTTTTTTTGGCGTTATATGAATTTATCCCCTACGTTAATAAAGCGTGTTGTTATGGCTTTTTGGTAAGGGTATTTACTCCTTACACTTTTTGTCACTTGGATTATTTATTCACAGAGTGATTCACATACCACGGTTGTTACACTGTGTTCGCTTTTCACTTATGTGGTCACGTTTGATTTAAAATCACACAGTGCATATGATTTTGGAGATATTGGTATTTATGTATGTATTTTGTATAAAGTTAATGCACTATATTAGTTTTCCTTTTTTTTTTTTGAGGTTCATATTTTCCTTTGGAGCCAATTGGAGGGCTCGGCAACAAAGATTTGAGAATTGTTCGCATTGGAATTGAAGTTGGGAATGACTTTGATTTTTGGACACGAGTATATAAAAAAAAAATAATTTTATTATTTTGGTTTTGTATATAATTTTATTTATTTATTTTATATATATATACCTTTTTTATTTGTGTTTTTTGTCATTTATACGGATTTCACATTTTGTATTGTATATTATAGTATGTTTTGAGCATATTGGGGTGGTATTGAGAGCATCATCACCCTGTGCACTGCCTATTGCAGCTTGGGGGGGGGGGGGGGGGTGTTTGGCAGGAGGCAAAAACGCAGATCAACCGCGCATTTCGCAGCCCAACCGCAAGTCTAAACAAAGCCGAAGGCCTTGTTCATGTGCCGCATTCTACAGCGAGGCCATGTTTAGCTGCACAGGGATGCAGGCAGTCCTATTGATGTCAATTGGGACACAGAGGTTGCACAGGAATGCACAGGTGTTCTATGTATTCTTGTTCAGGCAGTCCATATCAATCGGGATGCAGTTGCTGCATCAAGACATCCACTGCTCCCAACTTGACATCCATGTGAGTTTATGTCCCTGAACTCAAACTGCCTGCGTTTGGGACCATGGACCTACACCCCCCATGGATGTTAGATCTGTCCTTGCAGCTGCTGTGTCCCAGTTGATGTGAATAGGACTACCTGTGCCTCCCTGTGCAGGTAAAAACACGGCCCTTCATGGACATACGCTTTAGTACACCCCACTGAATGAGGTCTTAGTAGGAATTTAGCAGGAATTTTGTAAGCTGTGTTGTTGTTTTATGAGCAAATAAGGATTTTAGTGTTTTTTTTGTGTGAAAATAGCAATTTGATAAACACTTGCGCAACTATTGTGGTGCCTAAAAAAATCAGCAGCACCTTCTTTTTGTTTGACTTGTCATGTCCTTTCAGAAAATATATGGTTTGGGGGGTCTTTTATAAACTTTAAAATCTGTAAGTGAAAAATGAGAACCTCCAGATTTTTAGAGACATTTTTGTGTATGTTTGATTTTCACTATTTCGCAAAAAGGTGCAATTTAAAATTGACAAATATTTGTTAATTATTAACTCAATACATGCCAAGCTTTTATAATTAGCAGAAATATTGAAAAAATTTGCTGTGTTTCTATCTGCTAACAAAGATTTTAATGTAGTTTTAGCAAAAATACTGCTTTGGCAAAAAAAAAAAACATTTGCGCAAATATCGCAGGGCCTTAAAAATCAGTATCACCTTTTTTTTATTCGACTGGTCTTGTGCTTTTGGAAAATATATGGTTTGGGGGTTTATTATAAACTCTGAAAGCTGTAAGGTAAAAATAAAAAAGCAATCGAAAAATTGCAAAAATGGTCTGGCCAGCTGGGTTTAAACAAAAACTTTTGTTTGTATTATGCATTTTCTTAATTGGTGACTGTCTAGATTAGAAACAAGCGATCTAACCTACAGCCCAATGCGGCTGCTCACAGGCAGTTCCCTAAATTGTTGTCAGCTTCTCTGCAAACATTGAAGCATAACTCCAAGTAGCCCCAGCCCATGACCTGCCCGGCTCTGCTCCCTTCCTTCCCGGCCATCCACGTGTGTGTGTCTATGTCTGTGTCAATGCGCGTGTGTCCGCAGACAAAAGCAGCTTACTTGCTACTTCACCCGTGGGGTTGTGAAGGCAAACAACAGGTGGGGGACCAGTTTCCGTGGGAAGGCCCCGGAGCAACACCAATTATACATGTAATTTCCAGAAGTGACGTCCTAGCTTTCACTGATCACGCCCACCACTAATAAATGTCACTTCCGGAAATTACGTAGCTAGCAGGCAGGGGACACGCTAGGAGTCATGAGGAAAAGAAAAACTGGAGGGATAAAGATCACGTGACAGGTGGGCTTTTAAACAAAACAAAACAGAGGTACAAGGATGCAAATTTTAGACATTTTAATAAAGCAGGTCTAATAAATGGGTGGGTTATGGTTGATTGGTGCTTATTAACCAGTTCCCAACCACGCTATAGCCGAAGGATGGCTACAGCGAGGTTGTCTGGTTCTGGGACGACGTCCATTGACATCATTCCAGAACACGCCCCCCGGCGCCACCGATGATCGCTGTGTCCTACGGACACAGCTGATCACGTCATACGGTAAATGGCCAATCACGGCGGCCTTTTACCACGTGATCAGCTGTGTCCAATGACAAAGTAGATCACCGGGTAAATACAGTTGCCAGTTAACAGCTACACTTTCCTCACGCTGTCACAGCGTGAGGAAAGTACTGCCGAGAACTGGCAATTTTCAGCAAAGGGATCGGCACTGATCATCAGTGCCCGTCAGTGCCGCCCACCTGTACCCATCAGTGCCACCCACCTGTTCCCATCAGTGCAACCCATCAGGGCTGCCCATCAGTGCCACCCATCAGTGCAGCATTATCAGTGCTGCCTATCAATGCCGCCTATCAGTGCCCATCAGTGCTGCCTTTCAGTGCAGCCTCATCAACGCACATCAGTGAAGGAAGAAAATTACCTTTTTGCAAAATTATATAATAGAAACAAAGAAAAACTTTTTTTTTCACATTTTTTGCTCTTTTTTTTTGTTTATAGAGCAAAAAATAAAACACCCAGTGGTTATTAAATACCACCAAAAGAAAGCTCTATTTGTGTGAAACAAATAATACAAATTTCGTATGGGTACAATGTTGTATGACCGTGCAATTGTCATTCAAAGTGCTACAGCGCTGAAAGCTGAAAATTGGCCTGGGCGGGAAGGGGGTAGAAGTGCCCAGTAGGCAAGTGGTTAAAGGTGAAGCCTTTCCTTCCACTTTAAAACTGATGTATGATTGTGCACATTTTAATCTTATATCTACACTAGATTGCCCCACAGAAATGGAATGCAGTTGCCCCAGGCAGAAAGATGTCAACACCATTAGTCAATGCATAGCTTTTAAGATGCTTTTACCCTGAGGACTTTCATATTATGGCTGCATGTCCAACCACCTTGTAAAATCTATGGCTAAACTAATAGTTTCTGCCCAAGAAAATAAATATGATAAATAAGACTTACCAACAGCCAGAAATCTTCATAAAGTGCACAAGTCATCAGGCAGCGCTCATACAGTATTACTGTACGCTCATGCTGACCCTGAGACACCTCAAACTCCAGATATTTTCTCCAGTTTTCCAGTTGCTTAACATTTATTGGTATAGCATAGAAATAAAGCCGCTTGATCTGGATGGAAGAAATTGTAAAAAAGAAAACAGAACATATAGAAAAAATATGAACAGAGTGGGAGAAAGGGGTGTGAAAAAAAAGTGAATGAGAGTGCACTCACCCCTTCTTCAAAAGTCCAGCGCTTTTTAACTTCTGCTTCATTTAATATATACAACTGTTCTCTAATTTTGAGTATATGTTCCTGAAACCTTGCTATATCAGATTCCTAATTTAAAAAAAAAAAAAACAACAAATTTTATATACATAGATCATTAATTTTAGCAAAATGGCACACCATTTTCACGTATCATATCAATTAGCTCCCTTGACTATATTATGAAGCTTATCATTATAAAATTATTATATACACCAAAGCCTATGTTTTTTTGGTTTCTTGGGGACTATAGCTACACAGGTACATAAAATGAGAGGATAGAAAAAAAAAAAAAAAAAAAAATCAATAAATACATTTTGTATTAGGAGGCTACTGTCAAGTTTTGGGAAAATGTTTGGCCACTGAAGTCTTGTATGCAGGCTAAGTACTAAATTATTAAATCAAAGTGAACCTTGTGGTATCATATATATATATATATATATATATATATATATATATATATATATAGTACACTGCACAGATTTTAGAAGACACTTGGCGCATTCACACCTTTCTCAGTTCTGAATAAATTGCTGTTTGTGTTCTGTTTGCTATCTCAAAATGATTTGTGAATAAGAGGACCTACCAATTATGCAATCTGGATATTAGATTTCCAGGAACATGTTGTACACCATCAGAACACCTCTAGATACCTAGATAGCTACATGTCTACACATCGATGAAGAGGTATTGTAATTGTTTATTAACAATACATTAAAAATGGCTTGACGGCGCCGCCGGGGGGGGGGGCGTGTTCTGGAATGACGTCCATGGACGTCGTCCCAGAACCAGACAACCACGTTTCAGCCATCCTTCGGCTATAGCGTGGTTGGGAACTGGTTAATAAGCACCAATCAACCCTAATCCACCCATTTATTACACCTGCCTTATTAAAATTTCAAAAATTTGCATCCTTGTACCTCTTTTTTGGTTTAAAGCCCACCTGTCACGTGATCTTTATCCCTCCAGTTTTTCTTTTCCTTACGGCTCCTAGCGTGTCCCCTGCCAGCTAGCTACGTAATTTTCGAAAGTGACATTTATTAGTGGTGGGCGTGATCAGTGAAAGCTAAGCCGTCACTACCAAAACAATACAAAGCACAGAGTTTGGGCACAATGGAAATATAAATCCACAGTAGGCACATGGAGAACGGATGAGGCATACATGGAACTTTGGAAGACCAGTCCAAATACTTAAGTGCAGAGATAACAGGAATGTGTCTAGACTAGTGCGTTGAAGCAGGACAACCAAAGGTCGAACTCCGTGTACATTTAGGGATTAGGCAAGACACGGGGTAGAGGAGGGGAGGGGGGGGGGCATGGGGTTTGGGAGAGGAGAGAATAAGAAGGGGGGTATTGGGAGAGGAGAGAAAAAGAAAAGAAGGAAAAAAAAAAAGGAAGAGGGGAAGAGGAGTGGTGGTTGGAGAAGAAGAACAAGGGAGTGGTGGGTATTAGGCTTACGTTAAGGAGGGGGAAAGGGATCTCAGCATCACTGTGTCCAGGGACTGGGCATCTCCAAATGAGAAAAACAATACAAGATGAACAAAATCAGGTACCATCTGCCATCAAGGCCTCATAGTCCCAACAGCATGTGAACCAGGTCCAGTGGAACCATGTGCAACGATATTTCTCTTTTCTGCCCTTGAGAACCACCATGAGGCTTTCCATTTGGTGGATTTTGGAAAACTTGGAGAACCACAGCACAGGGGAAAGAGGAGTCTCCTGCTTCCAGCATTTACTAAATGAATGAGTAAGTTTTTTTTTGTAGCGTTTCCTTGGCAGAGGGGAAAAGTGAAGTAGGAATCTGGCAGGGTCATTACCTAGATCAAAGACTGTTAATTGTTTCATGGTCAACCTAACAGTGGTCCAAAAAGGTTTAAGTTTGGTGCATGACAAAAAGATGTGAAGGAGGGTACATTCCACTTCGTGGCACCTCCAACAGGTGTTAGACGTTTGGAGGAATAACTTGGCACATAACAGAGTACTGAGGGGACTCTATACCACTGAGCCAAAATAATGTACCCTAATTCCTGGTATCTATTGGTATTGCAGGAGTTGTATGTAAAGTATAGAATATCTTCCCTTTGAGCAGGTGAAAAAGAGGTATGCAAGTCACATACTCATTTCAGCAGGAACGGGGAGACAAAGTAATTTCCTGGAAGAGTCAGAAATTTATATGTGGTAGAAATCAAAAGGGCGGATGGTGAGGAGTCCATGCACATGCATTCAAAGGAAGTTGTGAGGCTAGGGTGCTCAACTCTATGATCAAGAGTAAGAAGGAAATGACCAAGTTGTTGGAGTCTCCAAGGGTTAAGTGGGGGTCAAACATCTGGGCCCAGAGTCTAAGGGCTAGCCTGCATTCTGCCAGGAATCTCTCACAGAAGTTCGGAAGCCTCATGCTGACCCCAGGTTGCAATCTCCAGATTCACCCTACTCAAACATGTGGTGACGAACAGCACAGAAGCGTTTAGGCAGTACTGCAGAGACAAGAGCAAGACTAGGGAGATGAAGAAGTTCTAAAAAACAAGCAAAGGGTCAGGGCAGGTGGCAGACAAGCTAATTCAGAGAGAGCTTGGAGGCAAGTAGAAGGTTGCTCAGTTGCTGGAAGAGTAATCCTCTAAATAGGTGTATGCCCTTTAAGAGGGGCGTGTAACGATCGTGCACAATAGGGAAATGGAACTTGTATGCGACATGTTTTTCATGACCAATGACCTTCCTCCCCTCTCTCCTCCTGAAAACTGTAGAATTTTAAGCTATAAGTTTTAACAAGCTTTAAAGGAGCCTCTTATTTTAACTAAAACACAAATAGATGCAGAGTCCAGGCCTGGCCAGAGCTGTAAACAGCTAATTAGTCTTGGCAGGATGTCTATTTCCACGAGCCATGGAAAACACCTATCGAAAAACAATAATAATTCAGTCAAGCCTTCACACATGACCTGTAAGGCCATTAAGGCTCTAGGAATGCAGAGTGTGCCATAAAAAGTCTATTCCACAACGTAACAATTCCACATACAATTCATAGAATTCAACAGGAATAACAGGAATAGGAAACATTATTATTAGCTATATATTTGAATAGGGAATATCATAACGAACAAATCAAATACATGACTATGCTAGCACATAGGAAAGGGGAGAAAAAAAAAGTATCCTGCCTCCTGGGTGACACAGTACGCTCCGTTTGGTATCCCTGGGTTTGAAATATAATTTTGAATATTAATCTGCCAGTTGCTAGAATACCACCTGCATATACTGGAGCCGGTTCTATTTGACTGACGGATAGCTGACTCTCTGACTTGCTCCAGTCGCAGGATAAATCTTGGTAAAAGTTTTATTTCTGTCTTTTATTCCCTTTTATTTTATAGTGAATAGTCAATGTGTGTCTTCTTGTATTTTTTATAACTTTTTATACTTTGTACATATTTTATGCCCACTTTCAGGGTATTAAAGCTTAAAATTAATAAGTGACTTCTGTGTATTTAAGCACATATCTTCGGAGAGATTAGATTGTATTGTATGTTAGTGCCTTTAAACGCTCGGTCAAGCTGATTGCTAATCTGTATGCAATTGCACTGCGTGTTGGCATATTGCGTGCAGATTGTCAAAGGTAACAGATCTGCCAGAAGGAGATCTGTGTGTGTGTGGTGTCCCAACAGACTGTTCTGCGGATAAACTGTTGGGTGGTGGCCAGATATCGTTTGTGGTGTGTCTGGTGTGTGGACAGTGGAAGAGTGATTAACACCGGGGTTCTAGCTGTAGGATAGCTGGAGGGATCCTAGAAGGGTGTGTGATTGCTAAGCTGCTCCTCAACTCTAATCAGTGCACCAGATTGTATATAAGATTTGTATCTGCCAGTGTGTGGTCAGCCATCTGGATTGGAGTGGAGTCTCCCCCCGGTGGTGGCCAAGAGGTAGTGCGGGCTGTGAAAGTATATCATGGCTGGTCTTATATACGGTTTTATATATTCAAAGTTAGGTCCCCTTTATCCCCTCTTACCCCAAGTCACGGCCGCACGTGCGCGCCTCGGTTAGCTAGTCGCTGTGGGCAAGTGGGTGAATCCGTGACAATATGAAAGGGATCTACTGTGGGACTGTAATAAAGGGCCGCCAAATGAGAATAAAGGACCCTGGGATCAGAGGGAAGGGCCCTTTCTTGCACAGAGGCCCTGAAGGTTGTAGTTACGCCTCTGCCGCTCAGTTTTGACAGGTGTCTTTCTCCCCGCAAGCTACCTGCCAGTTTTACACACTAAGCAGCTCTTGCAAGCCTTACCTTATGCTGCATATGGAATTGTTTCATCTGGCTGTGCTGGTCTGATGTCCCAGGTGTTTTCATGGCTGGCTGCATGCTGATCTGCCTTTGCCTCTGATGTAATAGTGCCTGTCCCTGTGACCCCACAGGAGGGAGACTTCCCCTCACTTCAACTAGATGTTCAGGAAGCTTGGAGTCATGTGCCCATCTGAGCAGTATGGGGTAAAGGTTGGTCATTACATATGTCTTCCAAGGGGGGAACACAGTTGAGGAGAAATAATGAGATCTAGACTGACATGATTCTTTGTAAGTCAGCAAAATCAAAGGGCCTGGACAAGGCATTAGCATAGGCATTTTTGGAGTTAAGCTTAAAGATATGCATACTTACATTGGTCCAAGCTTGACCAACATGAGTATGCAATAATGATCATACCTGGAGGTCAGCTTTAAGAGGCACACAACAATGATGCCATTGGCTGTGATACTGGCTCAAAAACATTGAAACAACACAGGATAAAGGAGAGGGGAAGCCTAGCAGTGTGGGAACAAGGAAGGCAAGTGGGTGCAACACCAGAGAAACACGGAAATGCCGAAGGCCAAAGAAGGGAAGCCCAGCAATGCGGGAATGAGGAACTTAAGTGACACAGACCCTCTGCAAATTTTTGGACAGCAACACTGACAGACCTTCAGTGCAAACATTGTTTGCACACATTGTGCTGCCTACACCTTGTTACCTCAGCAGGGTCCACAACAATAAGCACTCCCTGCACCCTTGTGTTTCACCACGTTTCCCAATGCCTACCATAGCTTCTATTTAAGCACTCCTTACATTGTCCATGGGTGCTTTCCCACCATGATCCACATTTTCTCTGACAGCTATCTTACCACAAATATTAAACCTAATCAGAAGTTTGCATCACTGCGGCAAAAAGCTGCACCACAACTTTACACAATAGGAGAAATGGTATAGACTGCCCTAGGAGGGAGAAAATACAGTTCATACATAACTTTGTTACACAGTCCGTTCCCCAGAGGCTCCTTTTTACCTTCTCTCTCTTCACCTTCCAGCTCGTAACCATGTCTTGATCAGCTACTACTCTGCCTCCTCATTCTTTCCTTCCAAGTCAGCCACTACTCTGCCTTTTCCAATGTTCCATGGTCAGCTGCCACTGCACTCTCCCCCCTGCCATGATCAGCTTTATCAGTGTCCTTACTGTCCCCTTGGTCCCCAACAACATGCCATTCTACTTCTTCTAATCTACCCACACCTTCCCAAACGTCTCAGCCACCATTCTGCCTCCTTTTCTCCATAAACAATTGCCACTTTATCTTTTCTGCCAGTAGTCTATGATCAGCTCAGGCCCTACATACTTACAGTAAGAAAAACCTCCTGTGCTTAAATTTGGTTTTCCACTTTTCCAACCTAGTCTAGCGCTGTGATGCCTTGCCGCCCTCTTTGGACTGTTGGTATCCCTTCACATGCCACACTACAAAAAAACCAGCCTAGCGCATTACGTACCGTCATACACGCTTTATTAATAAATAAAACTAATATACTCACATCAACAGGCATATGAGTTAATTAAGATGTTTCTGTCACAAGATCTGCAAAGCTTAACTGATAGCATGGGAAGACCCTTTAGTGTCCAATATGGCTAACGCTTTTCGGAGGAAGAGGGTTGCCCCTTGAATGGTGTTAGCCATATTGGACACTGAAGGGTCTTACCGTATTACAAGATAAACGTTAAGGATCTGGTGACAGTCAGATCAGATCTTGAGTATCTGATATGCCTGTCAACACTATACGTTTGTCGGTATAAAATATTTCTTTTTATTTAATAATAAAGTGTGTACGAAAGGAATGAACTAGGCTGGTGTGCCCTCTGTCTGTTTTGTAATTGTATCTTCTTACACCCCCTAGCTCCAGAATCAGATGATATATCATACAGTTAGGTCCATAAATATTTGGGCACAGGCACAATTTTAGTTTTTTTTCAATTAGTTACCAAAACATATTCAAGCTATAATTATATAATGGATATGGGCTGAAAGTGCACACTCTCAGATTTAATTTGAGGGTATGTACATCCAAATTAGAGGAAGGGTTTAGGAATTACAGCTCTTAAGAGTAACCACCCCACCTTTTTCAAGGGACCAAAAGTAATTGGACAATTGAATCAAAAGCTGTTTCATGGCCAGGTGTGGGCTACGCCTTCGTTATTTCTTCATCAATTAAGCAGGTAAAAGGTCTGGAGTTGATTCTGGTAAATGGTATTTGCATTTGGAATCTGTTGCTGTGAACCTACATCATTATGCGTTTAAAGGAGCTGTCCATGCAAGTAAAACAGGTCATTGTAAGGCTTCAAAAACAAAACAAATCCATCAAAGAGATATCAGCAACATTAGGAGTGACCAAATCAACAGTTTGGTACATTCTGAGGAAAGAACAACGCACTGGTGAGCTCAACAACATAAAAAGGCATGGACGTGAAGGACACTCTCCAGGAGGTGGGAGTATCATTGCCAAAGTCTACAATCAAGAGAAGACTTCACGAGAGCAAATACAGAGGGTTCACCACAAGGTGCAAACCATTCATAAGCCTGAGGAATAAAAAAGCCAGATTATACTTTGCCAAAAAACATCTAAAAAAGCCAGACCAGTTTTGGAAAAGCATTCTTTGGCCGGATGAAACTAAGATTAATCTGTACCAGAATGATGGGAAGAAAAAAGTGTGGAGAAGACTTGGAAGAGCTTATGATCCAAAGCACACATCATCTGTAAAACATGGTGGAGGCAGTGTGATGGCATGGGCATGCATGGCTTCAGGTGGCACTGGGTCAAGACAGAAGCAGCTGGATGAATTCTGCAGTGTTTAGAGATATACGATCAGCCCAGATTCAGCCAAATGCAGCAAAGTTGATTGGACGGCGCTTCACAGTACAGATGTGCAATGATCCAAAACACACTGGAAGAGCAACCCAGGAGCTTTTGAAGGAAAAGAAGTGGAATATTCTGCAATGGCCGAGTCAACCACCTGATCTCAACCCAACTGAGCATGCATTTCACTTGCTGAAGGCAAAACTAAAGGCAGAAAGACCCACAAACAAAGAACAACTGAAGACAGCTGCAGTTAGAGCCTGGCAAAGCATCAGAAAGGAGGAAACCCAGCCTTTGGTAATGTCCATGGGTTCCAGACTTCAGGCAGTCATTGCATGTAAAGGATTCTCAACAAAACATTACAAATGAACATTTTATTTATGATTATATTAATTTGTCCAATTACATTAGAGCCCCTGAAAATTGAGGGACTGTGTATAAAAATGGTTGCATTTCCTAAAATTTGTACTTGATATTTATGTTCAACACCTTGAATTAAACCTGAAAGTCTGCACTTCAAATTCATTTGGATTGTTTCATTTTAATCTATTCTGGTGGCATGCAGAGCCAAAAATGTGAAAATTGTGCCTGTGTCCAAATATATATGGACCTAACTATAACTGACCAAATAATAGATGTGTATCTAAAATATTGTATGAATGGATAGTGATGTATTCCTGCAATATTTTAATCACTCTGAGGCCAAAAATGATTCAAGCCATATTATCTCTGTCATGAACAGCATGGTCACACATGGATCAAAATTCATCCGGTTCAGCATGGAGTGGATAAATTGAGATCCACATATGTGCAGGCTGGTTGTACAGAAGTCAATCTACCAGCCTGTCTGGGTTTATTCCTGAATCAGTGATGCTGGCTAAAGCTGGCAACACTGATCAGTATAAACAGCAAAATAGCACAGCAGGAGTGATCTCCCCCATCCACATCAAGTGTGTGGATGGGGGAATCTGGTCATTTTTTTTTTCTGTTTAGGCAGCTGGTTGAACAAAAAATATGATTAATCAGTTCCGCACCGCCTTATAGCAGAAATACTGCTACAGGGTGGCACATGTATATATACAGGGTGGCACATGTATATATACCTGATTTTGCAGTTCCGGGTAGGCTGGCCTCAGCTGTCAATGACCGGGTCCCGGCCGGTGATTACTCGTCGGCACCCGGTGTTTGCCGAGTATCACCGGGTGCCGACGAGTATAAACAACACAGATCTCTCCCCTGTCAGCTCCTGCACACTGCTTTGTATGACTTTGCATAGCAGAGCCATACAAAGCAGTGTGCTTACAGTGAAACACACAAACAGCCAACATAGTGAAACAGCACACAGTGTCAGTGCTTTTTATTAGCACTGATCACTATATTGGTGTTGCTGGGGATGTCAGTGACACCAAGTCAGTTCCTCCCAGTGTCAGAATGTCCGCCGCAGTCCCACAGTAAGTCGCTGTTCGCCGCCGTTACTAGTAAAGAAAAACAAAAAAAAATTTTAAATTACAGTATCCATACCACTATTTGTAAACACTTTAACTTTCACGTAAACCAATTAATTTACGTGTACTGGGATTTTTTTTTAGCAAAGACATTTTGGCCTAAATTTATGACTAAATTTTAAAAGAAAGCTCCATTTGTGGGAAAAAAAAAGGATGTAAATTTAATTCAGGTGCAGTGTTGCTTGACCGCACAATTGTCAGTTAAAGTAATGCACCGTATCGCAAAAAATGGCCTGGTCAGGAAGGGGGGTAAATCCTCTGGAGAGCAAGTGGTTAATGTATGGCCAGCATAATAGAACTACTACTACTCTCTAACTACAACGTTGTATGTTACACTACATAAACGTGTCAAAATATACAAGAAAGCATCAAGAATTAAGATCATTCAAAAAATTTTGGAAAAATACATACTGTTAATGGCTCCAAACAGTCATCTGAATCTTCAGCCGCAATCTGATCATTGTCATTTTCCATCTGTATTCTTGAGCGGATCCAATCCCATTCCTCTGTGTTCAAGATTTCAATTGGAGAATGAGTGGATGCAAACACCTTAAATCTGGATGGTACAAAAGAAAAGAACAATCTTTTTTTTAACAGATAGAATTTGATCAAAACATAAGTAACGATGCACATGCGAAATGTCATAAGAGTCATACAGGGTAGCACAAGCTCAAGCAGATGGCCAGAATACAGTTTGTAGGCAATCATCAAGGTCAAAGAGGTAGTCATACAAGTTAAACAGTGTCCAACCAAGGGCAGAGGTAAAACAATATATAGTTGCCTCGTCATATCCTGCAGCATCACAACTTAATTGGTAGCAAGTTGGGGTGTTGGGGTAGGGAGAGAGGAAAAGGGGAAGGGAAAAAAGGCAAGTGAGCATTGGGGGAGGGGGGGATGGAGGGCAAGGAGGACAGAAAGTCCAGAAGCAGGGCGAAAAGACTATGAGATAAGGTACCCTAATGTTTCAAGGAGATATTGCATACACACAAATAAATTAGAAGGTAAGGTTCATATCCAAGCTGACTGGATTTTATTTTTTTTTTTTTTTTGTAGACAGTTATGTGCCATGTATGTGAGCCTGTATAGGGGCAGGTCAGCATTAACCATGGACCTCCATTGAAAAGAACAATCTTTACTAGGTTTACCTGACACTTCAGAATGCAAAGTATATACATTATGCTTGTTATTGCAGAAAGAAAAAAACAAAACAAATAAAAGAATAGGAAATTAAAGTAATTCTAAATATACCAACCATTTTCCTTACCTCTCATATTGTGCTTTATACTGCTGAGTGGGGATAGTAAGCACTCGGTCAAAAAGTACAGTAACTTCTCTTAGGTTATTCTGCTGAATCTCAAATTCTATGTACATTTTCCATAGCTCATCTGAATGAAATTCCATACCAGAAACTTTTGCAGCCTCCCTAAACACACTGTAAGGTACAAAATGAATGAAAGCAGGTCTCAAATGAATTGTTAACTTCTGTATACACTGCATGTCACAATTTAGATACAACACACCAGAAGTAACATTCTGCAAAAAAGAAAATGAAACACAATTTAAAATACTTGTGTAACAATGTATTATTGAATACAAATTTTATATTTATTTATTTATTTTACGTGACAGCTCAACCAAGTCCCTAAACAACGGTGTATTATTTGTTTATAGATATGTTATATTCAATTTTAGTGAACCTTGACTGTATTGTAGAAGACGAATTCGTATGTTTTAAACAGAAATTCACAAAATGTAGGAACCGATTAGCAACAAGCATTTCAAAAGTCTACTCCACTTCTACATTATTTCAATGAGTTTTTATTGGAAGTAACAAGTACAATAGCTTTAGTGACCATGATAGTACACATTTAATTTACAAAAGATTGAAAACTAAACAGAAACACAAGTAGAGAAACAATATAAAAATCATTAGATTATATTGGGAAATTATCTAACACTCAAGTATTTCTTTAGAAATAGAAACAAGTATTAGCCATCAAAATTACTTTGAACAAGTCTGTTGAAATATGATAGAGAATCTAAACCCAGGCTGCTGAAGTTGAATGCCCCTATGAATTAGATCCTCTTCGTCTAAAGGAATCGCACAGCAGTCAATCTTCAGCTTCTGTTCTTCTCATAGATCTTCAAATTTCAAAGAGTCAAGAAAGAACCTGTATTTGATATGTGATCAAAATGTGCACAGCAGTACAGTTCTTCAGAAAATGAGCCTATGTGGTGTTTGATTACGTAAACAGTTAAGTGAAGACAATGCTGCATGAAACTGAAGTTAGGTGCTTGGCAAAGAATAGTGATATCCTTTCTCAATAATGATATTAGTCCAATGCTCAGGCTAAATGTGATATGTACTTACATGTCTGGTATACCTCTCACATTAAAGTGGTTGTAAACCTCAGACATGAAATATGAACAAAGCATATCCCTCTATAGTGTGTGCTTGTCTTGCTCCACAGTTCTAAGTGACATTTCTGTCCACTGCCTAGTTCCTCTGCTATAAGCATGAGTCACTTCTGACGAGTTTTCCTGACACCAAGAGAAAAATGGTGACAGGGGAGGGTACAGTCTGTGATTGACAGCCTGTTCTTGTGTACTGTGTGAAGGGGTTGTGTCCCTTCCCTTTGATCAGCTCTCAGAGCTCTCCTCACTGATGTAATTTCAGCTGCCTGCCCCCTGCTTTTCAGAGCTGTAAGACTCTGCAAATTCTGCACTTTGAATGGATGTAGTGGAAGACAGCTGTAGATAAACAAGTCCAACTTAAGTAGGAGAATTTGTTTCATCTCTGTGTGTATCACTTGAGGTGAGTCACTTCACTGGGAATATGCAAGGGTTTACCACCACTTTAATTATTAAATGGCAAAAAGTTAAAAAAGGCTGAAATAACTGTCTGTTTAGTATGTTTATAGAATTATGTGATATGGTATAGCTCTAAGTATTACATTAAACCACTACCCACTACACATCCAGACACTTATGCACACCTTCATCCTGGCTAGGGTACCTCATCACACCAGATCTTAATGACCCCAACGCACCACTTGCCTACAAATAGGCATGCTCAAGACCATGTGATCAAAACATCTACACATACACATATACACACACACACCTCATCTCTTTCAGAAACCCTCCTCTTGCTCACGACTTCTCCCAAAAGCTACCACTAGTTTTGGCCTCTCATGTAACCCTATATGCACTGATAAATGACCAAATCTTTGATAAATCAAAGATTTCTTTCAAATGAGCTTTTGTACAGTTTCCACCAAGAACAACTGTTCTTCCCCAATGAAAAACAATGTTTAAAGATCAAACCACCAAACCCAGCAATTTATTTAATAAAACGATTATTATATTAAACAACTGCGTCATTGCCTGTATGGCCAGCATAATGGTCACCTTAATGTGTGGTCAAGTATGGGCCATAATATAAAGTGGACAGCATTGTTTGACATATCTCAAGTTTTCTCCATATGTTGTCCTCCTGTCAAAAATTCTGGTGTGCACTTCCTTTAAGCTAGCCATACACACCAAACAGGGTGAGAGGAGGAATCTCCCCAGCTCGCTACTGTTTGTGATTGATTGAAGTCTCTGTTCAGTCAACAAATTTCCACAAGGCTCCTTCAACAAAAGTTGCTTGAAAAAGCAACCTCTGTCAAGTCTGATGGTACCAACGGGGCCACCCACCGCTCAATTTTCTGTTGATTCAGCCCAAATTTGAGCCGTCTAGGCAGCCTCTCTCCACACAGCTGAGATTTTTTAATGGTGCCATTCACATTATGCAACTACTGTTTGCAGCAGATAGAATTCTATGTTTCCAGGATCCAAACATCTAATACACAGCAAAATGTAATCTTTTGATCAAAATTTGATCTTTTAATGGTGCCATTCACATTATGCAACCACTGTTTGCAGCAGATAGAATTCTACATATCCAGGATCCAAACATCTAATACGCAGCAAAGTTTAATCTGGATAGGTAAATGCAGGAGTTCAAGTGTGATTGTAGCCCTAAACATGACATATTGTACAACCTACAATGCATATTTAATATTTATTTCTGCATTTAACAAACTGGAGAAAATGTAGCATGTGCAAACGTTTGGACAGCCTGTAGTCAATATTTAACATTTCTTTTGGCAGAAGCCACAGCCTCCAAATGTTTCTAATAATCAGCAAACCTTCTTCTATGCATGCTGTATAATCTTTTCTTTGGAGAAAATTCTGCCAACAGGAATGGGGGTGTTAGAGGAGTATGACCTTTCTAATCTTTGTCCATGTCATCAACAATGTAATAAACAAATAGGCAATTAATTATAAGACACACATTAATTACAGACCGATCATTTATTATTATAATGCAGGTAAAAATGTTGCTGCGTAATAAAATAGGAACATTTAAACTCATATGTTCCTTACATGATAAAAAGTGTTGCCTAGAGATTAGCCAAACAATCTGTGGACTGGTCTACTGATGTCTAATAATAGCAATAAAAAAAAATGAGGGAAGAGTGAACTGTATTGGCAGCACAGTGGCTAAATTTAGCACTTCTGACTAGCAGAACTAGATTTGTCGATTCGACAATCCCAACCACAGCACTACCTGCCTGGAGCTTGCATGTTCTCTCTGTGCCTGCGTTGGTTTCCCCCCCCCCCCTGACACTCCAGTTTCCTCCCACACTCCAAAGATGTACTGGTAGGTTAATTGGCTCTTGTCTAGATTGGCCCTAGTATGTGTATGTATGAATGTGCGTTAGCACTCTTAAATTGTAAGCTCCTTGAGTACAGGGACTGATGTGAATGTACTATATTATTTATTTATTTCAGGTACTTATATAGCGCCGTCAATTTACGCAGCACTTTACATATATATTGTACATTCACATCAGTCCCTAACCCTCAAGGGGCATACAATCTAAAGTCCCTAACTCACAGTCATACATACACATACTAGGGTCAATTTAGACAGGAGCCAATTAACCTACCAGCATGTCTTTGGAGTGTGGCAGGAAACCGGAGTACCTGGAGGAAACCCACGCATTCACAGGGAGAACATGCAAACTCCAGGCAGGTGGTGCCGCGGTTGGGATTCGAACCAGCGGCCCTAGTACTGCCAGGTGGAAGTGCTAACCATTTAGCCACTGTGCTGCCCATACTATATATATATATATATATATATATATATATATATATATATATACACATACACACACACACACACACACACACACACAGTGGGGATCGAAAGTTTGGGCACCCCAGCTAACAATTTGTATTAATGTGCATAAAGAAGCCAAGGAAAGATGGAAAAATCTCCAAAAGTCATCAAATTACAGATTATACATTCTTATAATATGTCAACAAAAGTTAGATTTTATTTCCATCATTTACACTTTCAAAATAACAGAAAACAAAAAAATGGCGTCTGCAAAAGTTTGGGCACCCTGCAGAGTTAATATCTTGTACTGCCCCCTTTGGCAAGTATCACAGCTTGTAAATGCTTTTTGTAGCCAGCCAAGAGTCTTTCAATTCTTGTTTGAGGTATCTTTGCCCATTCTTCCTTACAAAAGTCTTCCAGTTCTTTGAGATTTCTGGGCTGTCTGTCACGCACTGCTCTTTTAAGGTCTATCCATAGATTTTCAATTATGTTGAGGTAAGGAGATTGTGAAGGCCATGGCAAAACCTTCAGTTTACGCCTCTTGATGTAATCCCCCGTGGATTTCGAGGTGTGTTTAGGATCATTATCCATTTGTAGAAGCCATCCTCTCTTCAACTTCAGCTTTTTCACAGATGGCATCAAGTTACCATCCAAAATTTGCTGAAATTTTATTGAATCCATTTTTCCTTCTACTCGTGAGATGTTCCCTGTGCCACTGGCTGCAACACAACCCCAAAGCATGATTGATCCAACCCCATGCTTAACAGTTGGACAGAGGTTCTTTTCATTCAATTCTGTGCCCCTTCTTCTCCAAATGTACCTTTGCTCATTCCGGCCAAAAAGTTCAATTTTAACCTCATCGGTCCACAGAACTTGTTTCCAAAATGCATCAGGCTTGTCTATATGTTCATTTGCAAAGTTCAAACGATGATTTTTGTGGTGAGGACGTAGAAGAGGTTTTCTTCCGATGACTCTTCCATGAAGACCATATTTGTACAAGTATCTCTTTATAGTGGAATAGTGTACCACAACTCCAGTGTCTGCCAGATCTTTCTGGAGGGATAATGCAGTCAAACGTGGGTTTTGAATTGTTTTTCTCACAATCCTGCGAGCTGTTCTGTCTGATATTTTTCTTGGTCTTCCAGATGTTGCTTTAACTTCCACTGTTCCTGATGACTGCCATTTCTTAATTACATTCGGAACAGAGGATATTGACATCTGAAAACGCTTTGCTATCTTCTTATAGCATTCTCCAGCTTTGTGAGCGTCAACTATTTTCAGTTTCAGTTTTCTAGACAACTGCTTAGAAGAACCCATGGTGCTGATTGTTGGGGCAAGATCAGATGAGTCTGGGCATTTAAAACCTTTGAGATTGACATCACCTGGTCTTCCCAGACGATGATTGAGAACAATCCATGACACTGGCAGGTCTCAGCTTTGCAAAGGGGGCAGTGCATGCTATAAATTCTGCAGGGTGCCCAAACTTTTGCAGGCGCCATTTTTTTGTTTTCTGTTATTTTGAAAGTGTAAATGATGGAAATAAAATCTAACTTTTGTTGACATATTATAAGAATGTCTAATCAGTAATTTGATGCCTTTTGGAGATTTTTCCATCTTTCCTTGGCTTCTTTATGCACATTAATACAAATTTTTAGCTGGGGTGCCCAAACTTTCGATTCCCCACTGTGTATATATGTATGTATATATATATATATATATATATATATATATATATATATATATATATATATATATATATATATATATATATATATATATAAACACAGCATAAAGTGATGGTACTATATAAGTACCTGTAATACATTAAATAAGCTTTACTACAAAAATCCAAATTTGACCAATTGTAACCAATTTTCTTGGTTTGATCTCCAACATCGTCAATCGTACTAAAAAAAAAAGTCACCTGAAAAAAATGTTGATTTCAAAATGTAGGGTGGGATGGGGAAGTTCATTCAGTGGAAAATAAAAAACAACAACAAGTGCCTCTAGTGATATTAGCAATAGAAATGCATTTACTAAAATCTGGCTGATCCTTTTAGAAAAAATAGGTCTACACCCGTAATATATGCCCTTTCATGAGGTCTAAGATGTTCTCCTGTTTGAAGTGAATAAACGTCAGAAGTCAGATTAAGTTTGTTGAAAGTACAAATGGAAATATCACAATCAGTTTTAAGAACCTCCAAAGCATATGATGGTGATGTGTTCACAAATAAAAGGCAAACTTTTAAATAATATTGATAAAATCAGACAGACCTTTTAATAGAAAGATTTATTTCACATTGCACCCTGCCTTTACCACCACCAACCTCCTCTGCACACATACACACACACATGTAAACAGACAATGATCAACTAGTGAATGAGAACAATAAAGTCAACAACCAACCACACACACAAACCACGTTTAATGGCCCTTTAAATATAGTTAGTTTGAGCCAAACTGGCCCAAACAAGCTATTACCTGCACTGACAGGTGCGCTTACTGGGCACGCTGTGTTAACTGTATGTGGCCTTAATTACATACATTGTACAGCACTGAGTTCCGGCAGTGGAATGGGGACTTCCTGTCCCACTCCTGCAAAAAAGAGTGGGGCTGAGCACCGCTCAGCGATTCACGGGAAGCTCTGTATTCATTCATAGAATACAAAGTTTCCCGTTAATAGCTGAGCAGCGCTCAGCCCGACTCTATTTTGTTCCTGTACTGGGACAGAAAGTCCCCATCCCACTGCCAGAACACAGAACTGTATACTGTATGTAGCTGAGGCTACACACAGTTAATACAGCGTGCCCAGCATGCAGTGGAGTAAATAGTTTGTTTAAACTAACTTGGCCCAAACAAACTAAAAAGGGACATTAAGCGTGGTGTTAGGCTTTACATGCAAACTGAAAACCTCCTCAAATCTTTGACTGCATACCAACACTCACCAGCAAGGAAATGATCTGTAACCTGCAGCACAGCTATTTCTAGAATCTACAATATTAAGAATAGAAGAAAAAACATGCATAATCTAAGCAATCGTCCTTCAACACACTAACAGATTATTTCATGGATTTCCCCCATCACCCAAGTCAAGCCTAAAGGGTAACACCACTTTTGGGGGGAAAAAAATTGCAAATAAATAAAAAAAGATAATATAACATACAATTGCTGCACAAGTCATATTGTAATTGAATGTTAATATAAAGTTTCTTTTCCTGTTCAATCTGCAGCACTGTAATTTTCTGTCAAAATGCAATGAAATATGGCAACCTGGAGGCATTCTGTACACAGATGGCGTATGGAAAGCCCCCCAAAAATATAATTTCCTGCCTGTGTGATTGGCTGACTTATTTTCCCAGAAATCTGCACTAAGATACAAGGCAGATTTGGGACATCACCTGCAATAAAAAACTTAGTTTTTGGTGAGATACTCCCAAAGAGAAATCACATCTAAAAGGGATGCAGACCCTGCCACTTTCCTCATTAGAGCCCTTCAAGTGCAGCAGCGATTGATAATTATGAAGTCGCTTCCATTCACATTCACTTTGTATGTGGACACAGACAAACAGCTACAAAAACATTCTTCAGAATAACAAAAGTTAGTAGTCTGCAACAGATTTTGGTAAAATCCTTGCAATGTGCATAGATCACCCAGAACGGAAAGTTTTTTTTTTGCAACAAAAGTGGGGTTACTCTTTGTTGTGGAAAAATGTCCGAATAAAAACAGCATCATGTAAGTCTTACCCTCGTAATTTGTCAACAGATTTTGTCAAAGCCATGTCCATAGTCTTCATCAAGAACTGAACGTAGCTGATCCACATGTTGACATTAAGTGGGATGGCCTTCGCAGCACGCTCAAAGATCTGCACAGTAGAAAGTGGCAATGTAACTTGTCTTGTTTTAGAGATTTATAATTATATTACAAATTCTACTTTGTGGGTAACAAACATTTACAAAACATATCCTAAATGGGCTGAATATTTTGAAACACAAACTAAAATAAAATTGAAAAAAAAAAACTAAATTGGAGGAAGAAGTATCACATGCAACTACTGATAATAAAAAAATCTATAGTTTGATTTATGAACACTGTGGCCAATGATAATATGATTTTTTTGCTACAGTTTTCATAAATCTTCCCATATTAGTACAGTTTTAAGGATAAGCTGTAAACTTACTTATTTTTGTCCAGTGAAACTGCATGTTCAGTCATTCTGTGTGACTAAACCAGCATTCGATCATATTAGGGATTTTTTACTCAATGCATAAAGTGGTGGTAGCTGTGCAAATAGAGAAAAATCTAATGTTTTTAGGGTATTTCCTCTTGGGGTCAAATGTTTTTAGGGTATGTTCTCTTGAATGTACTTAGAATATGCTGTATTCAGTACTACTTATATTTGCCAGAGAAACCCATAAAATAACATGTATAAAAGTTAACTTATTCTAATTACATTCAATTTGACAACAATACAATAAATAGAATTTGCCAAATTTGCCTGTGAAAGACAACTTAAGTATCTGATAATTTCACTCACATTAAAAACATTTGCAAGGGTATTATTCATGATTTTTGTGCAAATGCTGATACAATCATAGCAATTTATTAAATAATACTAGGCACTTTTGTCTTTTCAGTTGTTTCCAAATTACATATACATTGTACTCAAATAGATGTTATATTGTTACAAATGTCAATTTATATTAAACATCCTAAAAACCTCTATATGAAGCTGAAATAATATTTTTTTACATTATTTTGTATATACAGTAGTATAAGAATTCAGTACACCAACTAAATATTAAACTTGCCTTTTTCTTTCAGATGTCTCTCCCATTGTAAGTCATCATCTTGATGGTTGCAGGGCAGATGTCAAAGGAGCTTCTAAACCCATCCAGCCCTCAAGGAACTCCCCCAGATTGTTGAGATTTCACACAAAAGCACACTGAAGAAACGGCGCAACTTCTCAAGTGGGGGTGGCTATTCAATGTAAGCGAGTGCGCAAGATTTCTTTGCATGCAAATAATGCCCTTACATTTCATTAGTATGGATGTTGTTTTTGAAGGAATAAAGTGTGGGCATTTCTGTATTTTCAAGTAGCAATTAAAAGTCTTCATTATGTGGAAAAATCGCAGTGTTGCATGGTTCAAACGCTTACAAATGTATAATTATTCATTTAAACAGACCTATCTACCCATGTAGACCTATATCCCATTACATAATGAACATGACTGTGGATGCACATCAGCATGGGCACCCTGACTGGCCTGCGGCTATAAAGCACCATATACAACAAACTGCAAAGAGAATTTTATTTCTTTCAACACATCAAGTTCAGGGACAACATGTTTACTTGCTACCTAATATATTCCATTGACTTTCAGATGTCATTGTAAAGAAATGGGCAGTGAAAGGACAAGCAGCACACTGATGATCTGATCTCTTTGTCACTCTGCTCTTGTATCGTGCGCCGCTCATCTTCCCCCCTGGATTCTGCTGTATATACTGTACAAGGGCTGCAAGAAGCTGATAGCAAGTCAAATCCAGGTACTTACACTGCTCGAATTAAAAAAAAAAAAAAAAAAAAAAAAAAACACTTCTGGAATTCAGCTAGCATGTCTGAATAGCATTCTATTTGTGATAGTCATAAAAAGCGTTGTAAATATTTATTAGAAATCTGTTTTGCGGTGGTACGCAACTTGTGACAGATTCATGTGTGTACAAAGCATATAGAAATCTGTAGCAGAACTGCCTCAGACAGAATTTTGTCTGCAACACAATTCTTGCATCTTGGAAGCTATTTAGTCTAACATGGAACCTTCACTTTCCTTATCACAGATATGGTGGTATTTCTTTATGATTTCTTTGCAACAACAGCAACAGATAGTAAACGTTTTGCTAGTACATATCAAATAAGAAGCATGTGTGGGTACCAAAAATTAAACTGTTGCACGGGTTTCATAAATTAGGCCCAATAATTCTGACTATATTTACAATGCCAGAAATGTGTTGCAAATGCTCTGTTGAATTGTCCTGTTTGTGTTTCAGCATTTTAGATCTACTGTACATAGAAATAGTGAGAATGTTAACCTCATAGTGCATATACACCATGTGCATCTGCAAACGAGGGAATGATTGCATATCTCTGTATATACAGATTTTTTTAGTGTATTTACTACTATGAATATGTTCTGGTATTTAAAATACTGTAGGCATTCTTTGGTGAAACTCTAACATACATACAAAAGCATGAAATGTACCATTTAAACACCACACGATCAAACAAAAGATATGTATATTTTATGAAAAGGGTACAATCGTTACTATACATGATTAAAAAAAGTGAAGGCTTTAAAGTGTGAATATATACATACTTACACATAGCCATTATTTTTTGGTATCTTTTATTTACCATATTTATATAGTGTACAGAGTGCATATAACCATTCACATCAGATCCTGCCCCGAAAAGAGGTTACAGTCTAAAATCCCTACTCCACACACACAAATACATAGACACTCTAGGATCAGTTTGGCCATCTAGCAGGTAACCTCCTAAACAGTTTTTGTAGTATGAGAGGAAAGTGATTCATTCAGAGGAATCCCATGCAAACACAAGGTAAACACACAAATTACTAACAGAGCATGTCACTGCTGGGAGTCATGCTTGTCCTTGAAATGTAAGGAAAGAGAATAAACAACGCAGCCACGGAATAGGAGTCATATAACAGCCAGGCATACACATATACAGAGTAGACAACGAATAAAGCAACACTCATACAACATTAGAAAAAAACTCTGAATTTCACACATACATCTCAGGACAAATGTTCAAAATATTTTTACAAGATATTTGTTTAACATTTTCAGAAAATCCATTCGTTCACGGTCTGTGAAGGAGCTGCACATTGTATAAGATCTCCAAAGCTAGGTTTAATTCTATAACTCAGGCTGCAAATGATGCAGCTACTTTGTGTTTATAACTGCAGGTGGACATAGCATTAGTATAATATCGCATAGTCATAGTGTATGGAATGGAGAGAAAATTTAAAGTGGCAGTATTAGAAGTCCAGTGGAAGGGAACCTGATATGCAGGTAGGAATAGCTGGATGCATATTTGAACCTGTAAAAGGAATGGAGAGGAATACAGGAGCTGTCAATGCTGACTTTCTTTTGTAATTGCCAATTGCCTAGCTGTCTCTGGTCTAAATACTTTGAGTCACTGACCTGGTACAAGTATGCTGCAACTACAATATGAACTCTGAATCTGCATACTTTTTCAGGGCCAGTGAGTATTTAACCACTGAATCACTACGGCAGCCAGACTGCTAGCATTTTCAGAAAAAGAAGTTGTCATTGGCAGCCCACACAACTCCCTTAGTACAAATATTCTCTGAAGTGTCAGTAAACACTTTAAAAAAACTTCCTAGGGGCTCATTCACAAGTGTGTTGATTATGAAGAATGAAGTAATGCTCTTTAAAGTGCTACTAAACCCACAACCCTTCTTCACTATATCTGGTCTTGCAGTACTCATAACATGAAAATGCAATTATTTTCATAACTATAAACTGCTAAATACCTTATCAGCAATTAGAACAGTCTTGTGACTTCTACCAGTGTCCAGTAGAGCACATGTTAAAGCTTGTATGAGGAGTTTAAATTTTTTCTAGAAGGATGCAGAACCCCTGACCTTTCTCTGGAAAGTGTTGAATGGCCCTGTGCTGATCACATGCATTCTCCCAAGAAAAAAAAAAAAACCTCTCTAGCAATACACACCAAACTGAGTGTGTGCAGAGTGACTCCACACCATATGTCTTATCAGGAGATAAGAGGGGAACACTGGAAGAAGGGGAGGATCAGAGAAATCAAGCTCAAAACAGCCTTTTTACACAATGCAGAGGATTAACCTCTTAGGTTCCACATTGAGTATAACAACCATGCTTTACTGCATATACAGACTGATTTATTGTTATGAGTTTAGTAACACTTTAACACACCTATAGCATTAATTATGTGTTTATGACATGTTTTCGTTGTGTTTATGAAGTCCTGAAAAAGATTCAAGAATGCTTGATAATTGCTCATGAAAGCGTTGTTTTTCTAGTGGGAATTACTTAAAGGGGATGTGATGTACAGAAAATGATCTACTTTGAAGTGTGAATAGGTTGTGGTGTGGTATCAGGCGTTTTCTGATTTCTCTGCAGGTGGATTCATATACTTCGATCTCTTTGACTTGGTCCAGTTCAACTTTGCTGAAACATAAAGCTATGCCCCTGGTAATGATGCTCAATATCTCTGCTCCTGCCTGGCACTGTCAGTATTGCTGGCCTAATGCTTTTCCTTGCACACAGAAGCAAATGGTGCTACAACAGGGCTGCTCTGTGTGAAGAGGAAGTGGCTGCAGTTGCTCTGTCCCAATTCTCTATTATGTCCCAGTGCATTCTGGGATACAGAAGCCTCCACTGTCTCTTCCCCAGTGCCCAGTAAACACTTCATAAATGCTTCACTAACACACCATAAATGCTCTAAGTGCGGTTACAGAGCATTATTACTGAAATCAATAGAGGCAGCTGATAAGTGTCAATGCCTCATGAAAGCGACATGCTGCTTCATTTTGAATATAACACAACACAATGCTAACACTCCTTTGTGAACAACACTGTTTTGTAATATTCATGGGAGGCGTTGAAGGGAGGTTATGAGGCTTTACAAAATGCTGAATAAATGCTGCATAAGGTGAATGAGCCCTAGCAATTTTTAATACAGTATCTCTGTGCCGCTTATTTATTGAAACTTTCCTTTAGGAGAAAGCACCTGTAAACTAGAAAAGCTACAATTTCTGGGGAAATTGTGTGAAGAGTTCTTGCCTCCATCAGTAGTCTACAACTGGAGTGGGCGGAGTAGCTTTTGTCACTCTGCTGCCTGCTCACACACCTGGGTTCCTATGGCAACTCACTCTACAGCAAGGGCAGAGGACCGGTTAAAAACAAACTGCAGCTCCAACTTGCTCACATCACTGGCGGTTGCCATCTTCAAATGGTGGTAGTTTTAAAATTATAAATCCTACACTGAAGAGCTTTATATTGTGAGAATCACAAGACCCAGACCTACATTTTGATGCATAGTATGTCTCTGAAATATTAAAAATGAAGGCAGTGTCGCAGTTTAGAAATTGCCCTTCAAATTTCAGGTGGCTAGAGTGGAGTTTCAATGAATGTTAATGGGCGGCGTGAGTTGCAAACAAATGGTCATATTGTGAAAACTATCAGGACTATGGCTTAGCCGTGGACATGTTTGGTGGCAGCAGGGATAGCTGAACGTTTTGATATAAGATTTGTGTAGGTGGGCTTGAAAATGAGGGAGTGATGGCAGTTTAGAAATCATGTCCTGATTTTTCAGCTCACACTCTAGTTTTGAACATTCCGCCATTTATTCCTATGGGACCAATTTCAACACAAAAACGGCGATATTTCGTGAACCATTTGGCGAAACGTTCCACAATGTAATAGCACAACAATCGGGAACAATCCGCACGTTTCGGTATATTACTGTCCATGTAGTGTAAAAACTGTGGGAGGAGTTCGGGTGGTAAATTTGGCTATAATAATAAGAATATATATGTGAGATAACAGTAAGTGGTCTTGCCATGCAAGAACATTTAATAATGTCAGCCACCAGCAGCTGTTCCTCCTTGGTGGCAATGTACTGCAGACTCATACAGCCTCTGCAGCGTTGCAACCATAGTGCACATAATCCCCTTCCAGCAGTAAGTAGGCCTCATGGCTTACTGAGGGCTATAATCATCCTACCTGCCCATGTCAACACAGCCCAGGTGAGGGTAAAGTCACAGCGTGTCACATGTACTAGTGGTGTCACTCTTGCAGGCCCTCCCCTCAGGCCATGCAGAGCAGAGTAGAGCTGTCAATCAAGCATCCAATCGACCCCTTGACTGATGAAACTCAGACTGTGTCCTATTGTTTGCACATGAGAATATCCCATTGGTTTACAACCAATTTAAGGACACAAGTTACTGCTGCACAGCTTTAAGTTGAATAGTATAATAAAGTATTAAGATTTCTTTTGCTTCATCACACATGGCACAATCAGAAATGTCTGGAACAAGTTCAGTACAATGTTAAGAAGCTCCCTACTTTAATCTGAGTGGAACTTCCTAGACTCATACACATTAACACCAAAAAAATAAAAACATGAAATTACCTGCATTAGCAAAAGAAGTAGTTTGTCAAAAGTAAGCAACTTTTGCTCTTACCATTCTCTCCCATGTGACTGCAACACAAGGGACAGTATCGCAGCTCACCCTTATCGGTGTATTAGAACAAATACAAGCATTAGCGTACAAGGCAGACTAAAACCCGGGTCACTTCTTCAATGAAAAATGATTAGGCCTCCATCACAATCTAATGTACACACTACCAAGAACAGCATGCACACTGTAATGCGCTGCAGTGCAGGAGCATTGTCCTCTACCGTATAGTGTGTTAAGCTGCCATTCACAATGAATAGTACAGCAGTGCACCACACATAAAGACATGCACTGACATGTTACTGGAACACAATAATTTAAAAAGGCCCTTAAAGCTTAAGTGGTAGTCAAAAAAACAAAAGAATTTGCACAAGGGACATGACTTACCATTACTGTGCCGTGTCCCTTGTGCTGCTGCCTTAATAAAATAATGGATTATCGTGCAGTTTGCAGGTGAATTCTTGTGGAGTTTAATACAAAGAAGACCCTCAAGCTATACTAGTTATATATGCTTTCAAGATTGTCTGGTGCAGCATCTGTATTTATGAGTAAAGCTGGATACAAACAGATCAGAATTTGATCTGTGTGTAGCCCTCCCTGTTTGACAGAAGACAATTGTTAGATCGACTTCTGTTGAATTGGACCCACTGGAAAACCTTCTTTGATGGGAGGGTTGTAGCCGATCAGCTGCAGCACAGATCAGTGTATTGTGACAGTAGAGAGTCCGCGCTTTCAGAATACAATGTTCTGGCTGGGCGATTCCTGCATCCACCTTGCTTGTGGCCTCAGGCTGGATAAAAAAAGAAAATGATTATGTGTACCTAGCATAAGGGTTCATACTCTTTAGCTCTATTGCCCTGAACTTTGCTGCAAATTGCAAAACAAAGACTTGAGATAGTTTTTGCTTTTATGACCCATTTTGAAAGTTCTTCTGAACTAATGAGCTATGTTGGAGAAATACGTAGCATCTGAAAATGCATCAAACACACATTACTGCAAAGTGTTTTACTGCATGCATGTTCAAGTGCACCTGGTGAAAAGAAGCCATAATAATACTAATTATGAAAAGAACTGTTAACACATGCACTGGCCCAGAAGTCTCAAGAGTCAGTGTGGAGGAGCAATGCCCGTTTAGGAACAATTGTGTGGGATTTGATTTATGTGCCAGATTAAAAGAGAAGTATGGGATGGGTGTTTCTTTTCAAAATTAGGTGGATATAGAATTGGTCCAATGCTGCATCTGTCACCTATCGGCTCTAAGTGTGATAACTCGCTGATTTCTTACTGCCGCTGTGAGCAAAGAGTGGTGACTATCAGTCACCGCTGTCTGCACCCCCCAGCCTGTCTGGATCTTTCCCCAGCCTGGACAGGCTGAGTGACATCAGCCGACAGTGGGCTTCAGCTGAAAATGGGTAACAGGAGTTCAGAATGAACTGCACTCCTGTGATCCACAGGAGAATTACAGTCAAGAGGTCTGGCTGCAATTCTCCTTTAAGGCTGGTCCCAAGAAACAAAGGGAAATGAGACTGCACTTGTTCCAGCATGGATACCAATCATGATACTCATCTGACAATCACAGCTGTATATGTGCTGCACACAGAAAGACCAGGATCGGTCCTGCTTACAAGGTACATGGAGCTATTACAGCAAACTGAAAAATCTTCTTGGGAATAACAAGCACCCCAACTGCCCCAGGCATGCATTATTATTTAAAGAAAACTAATCTTTTTTTTTTTATTGTTTTATTTACAATCCAAAGCAGTGCTCAAAATCATAAGCATCCTTTACATTCAGCAAGCTCTTTTATAGTCGACAGATGGACAAATATTTTACCAAAGACCCCCTGAAGGTGAGAGATCTAAGCCTTTTTTGTGACTTTCTTTGAGCAAGGTGACATGGAATGCGCTTTCAAATGTAAAATCTGTGTGTTCATTCATGAATGTTTTATGTGTTCACTCAGACATCACTAGCTCATTAGCAACAGTTTCCAATCATCATAAACAATTTTCAAATTGTTCTAATAGCTTCTATGAGCTCTGTGCAAGTCTACCTGTTAATGAACAGTAGAAGTGGAGGCTGTGTCTGAGAATCACTGAGGAGGAAATTTCATATATCATTATTATTACTGGCTCTCCAATATTTAAGAATGAATCCTAAGCCTGGTTACCTTGGATGACTTCATACTATAGGAATGTCATTACAAACTTACCAAATGACCAAGCCCTAGCTCCTTGAGGAGGAATGTGTACTATCTTCCTTAAAAGGTAATGTTTCTTTCCAGAGAATTACAATTGGTCAAATGCTACCAACTACCCCTGTATATATTACAGCTAAAAATTGTAACAGTGAGTCACGAACTGTGATAGGCACGTGTCTGTCCTGATCATCTGCCAAGCCATGGTAAATGGGCGGGGACTCCTTGGAAGAACATCTATATTCTATATATCTGTAGCAAAGTATTATATAAAGGGGTTAGACAAAAAAATGGAAACACTACATAATTTGCAGGTGTGAAAGTAACATCATGTTTCCTGTGAAACTTCTTGTGTGAAACTTCTTTTGCTTCCATTGTGTGATGAGACACCTAGCTAATAGGTGGGAAGCCTTACTTTTGTCATTCACTGCATGCACTGCTGGTAATATGGAATCATGTCAGAGCTTAATGACCTTCAAAGAAGGCAAATTGTTCGTGCCCGCTTAGCTGGTGCCTCTGTGACTGAAGTTGCCAATTTATTTGCCGTGTTGCGAGGTACAGTATTAAAGGTTATGATGGCATAAACAGTTTCCGGGAAAATGTTTTCTGATATGCATAAGCGCAGTCAACATGGTCAACTGACCGAAAGAGACAAAAACGACATTGCACAGGATTGTGACCCGGAATAAGATAACTGCTGCAAAAATGAGTACAGAACTTAATCTCAGTCTTCACATTATACCTAAAACAATCTAAACCACCGGGATAAAACAATCAGAGCTGAGATTCCCTTTCTTTGTGTTTAGTATGTTTGTATAACAAGTAAAGGATATCTGGCTGTGGTCCACCACTACATTCAGGTACCCCATACAAAGTATAATTTTTGTGCTTTGGTTAAACACTCCATAGGTTTGTTGTGAGGGAAGAGTGAGAAAATCTAACCTCAACAATATTTCTTTCTGCCTACAAACTTATCAATGCTTGCCATCCAAATAGATGTTATTTATCAATGAATGTAAGATGTAATGGAAGTAAAGACTCAATATATCAATGCAATCTTTCATGTTAGTATAGCTAATCTAAGGTTTGTGTTGGCTTATTTCAGTTAAACATTTGTATTGCACAAACTTTCTGGTTTTGATATTCCAGTTACAAATACCTTTTCTGTCTCTTCTTCATTACCATGATGCTGCTCTAGGTCAACATACTTCTTCCAGTAGATGTGACAAAGAGGGAAATATGTGAGGAATGCATCATAAGCTTTCCTACATGCTGCCAGGTTTTTCTGTGGGAAGAAAATAAAAAATGGCTATACTGACAATTATGTATGCACGTTAAACCAAACAAAAAATGAATCCAAATGTGTACTGACAACTAAGAGTACATACTAAACAGTACAAGTATGTAAACTAGAAGCGAATAGTGCTGATGATGCCACAGGGATGAGACTTGGGTGAACAGGCAAATTGTCCAAGAGATGTCTCTTGAGCATATAGTTACCACTGTCATATGACTGGGCATTGGAAAGCAGTGAACACAAAGGCATAACACATTATTTATCCACATTCAAAACAAACATCCTGCCAATTTGAACAGCTGTAATTTTATGAAAGCAAACTGCCATTCTTTTAGAATAAGTATTTGTATCATACTATAGCAACCATTTGGTGCTATGCTTCTTGAATTTACAATAACACCTTGACAGAGAGAAGACGACTAGTTGCTAATGAGACTACACAAACCTCAGAATACTTCATGTGTAAGATTCATTGTGATAGGCTAAGATCAGTGCCAACATTACATGCTTGCTCACACTAGGTGGCTAATGATAACCTGTTAATAACAGCCTTATGTGAAAAACTAAATCCCTTGTTTGCATAACTCTTTTTCAGAATATTGTCTGTTGAGCAAAGGCAACACAAGGAAAAGACTGTGTCTCATTAACAATACAGTTGCTGTATATGCCTTCAAAAACATAAATGTAAAATCAGCATTGATTAAAAAAAAGCCATTAGGCTTTACCTCACTTTCTGCATGTGATACCAGTTTAGTCCAAGCACTGAAATTGCATGGCTTCTCCATAGCGCTTTTCCAGTAGGCGTTGAACTCAGCAGACATGCCACCTTCCACATCACAGGATTCCTCGTCACTGCCACTACAGTCCTCTGTGGTCAGAACATCACAGTCCATGGTGGAGAAATCAGGCAGAGGGGGATTCACTGGAGATGAAGGGCAACAACTTTACATACAGAACAATTACACTTATACTGTGCATTTCTAATATTAGACACTATTCTGCAAATATACGCAATTTTCACCAGCAACTACATCTCTGCAAATGTCTGCCCTTCTTTAGAAAGAAAGACACAGACAATCATTTTCGGTGAGCCCTTGTAATATAACAAACTTTATTCCAGACTGATCTTAAAATGGAGCTCCACCCAAAAGGAGAAGTTCTGCTTTAAGCCTTGTCTTCCAATCCTAATTAAGGAATGGCACCTTTGGGGAAGGGGGGGGGGGGGACCCAAATTTGACAGGTACCCTCTCCCACGTCTGCTGCGATCGCCTAGACAATTGGAAACGGAAGTTGTCCCTTCTCCCCTCCCACACGTGACAGGTCCCAGAAGACTACGGGGCCATTCACAAAGCACAGTGCTTCTCGCACATGTGCACTAGGCACCCGGCTGTGAAGCCACATGCTGTCACAGCTGGGTGCCCACATTGAAGATGCCGGCACCAGGGAGAGTTCCTCCCACACTCCAAAGACATGCTGGTAGGTTAATTGGTTACTGTCAAAATTGGCCCTAATATGTATGAACGCGAGTTAGGGACCTTAGATTGTACGCTCCTTGAGGATTAGGGACTGATGTGAATGTACAATATATATATATATTTATTAGAGGTACTTATATAGTGCTGTCAATGTACGCAGCGCTTTACGTATATATATATATATATATATATATATATATATATATATATATATACATACATACATACATACACACATACACACACGCTGCGTACATTGACAGCACTATATAAGTACCTCTAATAAATAAATAAAAATAAACACCCAAGCGCTTGACACACATGCTTGAAAAAACATGAGTTAACAGCATTTTTGCAGCTGCTTTTCTACTGCTAGGAGAAAAGCATTTAGAAGAGTTAATACCTTTTGTGTTGGTTTTATCATCAACATGGAAAAAAAAGAAAACCACAAGCATAATCTATTCCCAAAAACAACCTACTTGTTATGCAGCTTTACCAAAGAGGCTGGTACTTGGCCCCATTCTATTGGTAAATAAGACCAGAGGATAGGAATGCAACATTTATCAGTCTAGTTAGAAGACGCACTAGTAATTAATTTGGGTAAATACTATCAACATACTGTATAAATACTGCAGCTGAGAAGCTCTAATGTTATCTGCAACAACCACATTTTCTAATCAACTCTGCAATGATAGTTTTTACTTCTTCTTATCCTAGTTGTGGTTACATATGATGCTAACTTGACACAAATGACAGATTATTATACATTATTATTATACAGGATCTATATAGCGCCAACAGTTTGTGCAGTGCTTTACAAAATGAAGGTAGATATTACAGTTACAATACAATTTGGTAAAAGAGGAAACAGAGATGGTAACAAATTCAGACACAGCACTGAAAAAAATGTTACATGCATGTTAAAATAGGATTTTTTTTTTTTACTCATTGCAAAATCTTTTTCGTGTAGCCTACTGAGAGACACTGAAAGTTATCACATTTGGGTTATAGTGCTAACCACAGGAGGACTGGGCAATGGCTAACAAAACAGTAAGCCACCTTAGGGTAACTCCTCCAGCTACCAGGATGCCTCAGGTTTTTAGAAAAGTAATACCCAGAGCAGGATCATAAACACAGAGGGATGGGACCTATGTCCCTCAATGTACTCCAAGAAAATTATTTTACGGAGGGTAAAAAATTCCTATTTTCTTTCTCATCGATTGATAAACACAGATAGTATTTATTTTCACGACGTCCAAAAGCAGGCCAACTGAGGGGTGGGCAACACAGTTAACAGGCCCGGGAAATCAACCCAGAGCTGCGGACTGCCTGTATCTCATAGCAACACCAACTTGGTCAAATGTAGAGAATGTGTGAACAAAAGACCAGTTGCTTGATGCCAAAAAGCCCAAAAAGCACTCACAGATCTAGCAGAGTGCACCATGACAGGAAAAGTTAGAACCTGATCCTTGAGACCTTAGCTTAGATGATGGTCTGCTTGACAAGCTACAGATGGCAGAACAGGGTCCATCCAGGATTAAAATTAAAGAATCAGTTTTCCTACAGGAAGTAGTGGTTGAGGGATAGACTCTCACAGCAAAAAACCACATCCAGAAAATTCCTTTTTGGTGATTTGATGTCAGATAGAGGGACAGAAGAACAATGTCCTGGTTGAGGTGAAAAGCGGAAAATACCTTTGATAAAAAGGAGAAAGGTGGTCCTGTGTCTCAACACCACCTTGTCCTTATGCAAAACAAGAATAAGCTCCTTGCAGGATAAATCTAACAGCACAGACACTCATCTTGCAGAGGGGATGGCTAGAAAGGAATACTCCCTTGGGTGAATGTAGAGAGATAAATATATTTGACAGTGGTTTCTGAAGTGCAGAGAAAACAGGATTCAGATCCCACAGAGTCATAGGAAAACGAACAGGGGTAGCTACAGTACATGGGAAACTCTATTCAAATGAGGCCAACAGTCTCCAAAACAAGATAGAAAGGGCAGAAACCTGGTGAGTTACAGATTGTTCCAGATCCATCTGCAGCAAGGGGAGGATTAGTCCTGCACAGAAACTCCTTGAGTAGAAGCCACAACAAAAGACCTTGCAGTGAGTAGCCAGCTTGGCCTTAAAGGATGTTAACCTTTTGATCATGTTACACGTTACACCCATGTTAAGGGTGTAACGTGTAACATGCTTCAGCAGTCAACAGAAGCCAGAAGATCTCCCTGGTGATGGGAGGCAATGACAGACCTAATGGATTCCACGCAGAATTTCTGGGCTTGACTTAAGACATTCAGGGCTTGGAGATCCGAGATGGGAAGAATATCCCCTTTGGGTTTTTGAGCAATGAACAGGTCGAAGTAAATTTCCTTGAAACTGTTCTGCCCCATTAACTGACATCTTTGGCCCAGAGTACTCAATGGAGATCTGCTAATCATCATTGGGACATTGAAAAGTTTGAGGTGAGAAAACAAAGAGGGGGCAAGTAGCGAAACTACAGTCTGTAGTTCTGGAATGACACCACCTACACCTAAGCATCTGACATGCAAGCTATCCAAGCTGCCACAAAGGTTAGTAAACTATGGAAAGTGGGGGCACGTCCTCATACTAAGGAGGGCTTGTTTGAGGATTTGGCAGACTTGGCAAGAGGACTGGGAACTAAGCTTGTGAAGTCTTGACATGGAGGGCATAGGAGTGGAGAAACAAAAGAGATGTTTCTCCACAGACAGGGAGGGAGAAGACTTTGCAGCCTTTTCCTTAGGCTTCTTCTGCAGAGGAAGATAGGTGTTCTTGTAAAAAATCCTTGTTAATATTTTTGAAGAGTTGCACTGAATATACGTTGTCCCTTGAGGCCAGGCAGATCAAAAGTTTCTTACATGCAGGTCTAGCCTTTTAACCAAAGTGTCCTACACATGTGTATTGACAGGAGACCCTTGAGAGAGATAAGCCAAGAAATTTCCAGCAGACCATCACAACTAAAATTTAAAGCTACAGTCATTTGCTACATGTGTTCTATAATCAAAGGATCAACTGTGGCTGTGGTGAGTTCCCTTTTAGAGGTTTAACCAATCAGCCATGGTTTAGCAATGTAAGGTCACAGGCAGGATGGAGTGAAGGCCCACCTGCTAGAACAGAGTTCTAGAAAGGATGTTCAACTGCTTATCAGTTGGGTCCTTCCATTGGAATCGTATGTGCCTTGTTAAAGGATTAAAATTCACCTTTACCAGAAAACTGCCTTTGCAGATAAGAGGCAACTGTAGATAACAACAAACTGTGCAGCTATGGTCAAAGTTGAATAACGCTGGCTGCAGTATAACAGTGAGTAGGGGGACATATGGTAAGCAAGTAAATAAGAGGTGTGAGAGACTGCACCTAGTGATAGAAGAAAAGGAAAGACATCTAGGTCCAGGGGTGTAGACATTTTTGAAAAAACTACTTGTCCAGGGACTAAATCGGTGTCCCCAATCTACTTGTCCTGATAAAAAAAAACATAAATTTTAACCCAAACTGTATTTAAATCTGCTTTAAGTAATGTCCGTGGCTTTTAAAAACAAAAGGGGATTTATAGCGACTTAAACATTTAATATTTTTAACATTGCACTGTTTATCTCCCCTCCATGCCTGTCTGCCTGTCTCTAGCACCGCACCTGTTAGCAGGGAGGGGAGAGACCTTGCAGTGTAGTGAACACCGATTGGCTGCTCGTCAGGAAAGGGGAGTGTTGGATTTATCCTTTATCCCTGTCGCTGCCAGAGCTCTTTCTGGGTTATTTGCACACTTTAAAAAATTGTTTTAGGCCTGAAGATGACACAAAACCCCCCAACATTATATATTTTGTAAAAGCAGAGATCCTAGAGAATCAAATAGTGGTAGTTCCAATTTTTTATGTCACATGGTATTATCATAAAGGTATAGTAAACACAAAATTTCAGTAAAAAATACACCTGAGTTAATTTTTAGCGCACAAAAAGCAATAAATGATCCCATTTTTTTGTAAAATATTAAAGACGAGGTTGCAGCGAGTAAATAGATATCCAAAATGTCAAACCTGTGTGCGTGTGCTTGTGAAACGGCAACAAACTTTAGTACTCTATATTTTCTATAGGCGACACTTTTAAAGCCCCTTATAGGCCATCAGTATAGTGTACGGAGGAGGTCTGGTGCTAGAATTATTGCTCTCACTCTGGCATGCACGGCGATATGTAACATGTGTAGGTGCCCCAGCGTGTGCTTTTACATTTGTGCGTGCGTACATATGTGGGGGGGGGGGCTTGAAAATTGGGGGTTTGCTATATGCTTGGGTGTAACCATTAAAAAAAAAAAAAAAAATTTTTTTTAATCACATATCTTCCACATGAGGA